CATTAGGATACTGGATCACATGCCTATCACATTTTATTCATGTCAAGAAAAATGACCACCATAATGTCTTATACCAATCAGATTTATACTTGTAACCTAAAAAAGGTAAATCTGCTTAATCACATGTGTGAGAGGTCCACACCTCAGCCAAATCAGGGCTTTTCCAACACTCATAAAGGAAGAGAGAAAGCTGGGCGCTGGTAGCTCACACCTGTTATCCTAGCTACCTAGGAACCTGAGATATGAAGATTGCAGTTCACAACCAGCCCAGGCAGAAAAGTCTCTGAGATCCTTCTCTCCAAAAACTACTCAGAAAAAGCCAGAAGTGATGCTGTGGTTCAAGTGATAGAGCTCTAGCCTTGAGCAAAAGAAACAGCACACAGGCCCTGAGTTCAAGCCCCTGGACCAGCAGAGAAAAGGAAAAAGAAAGAAAAGAAGAAAGGAAGAGAAATTGGACAGACAACAAAGATGGCTGTCTCACTCTTCTTACATGACACGCTCCACCCAGGTATCTCCTCATCTTCACAACTAAGTGTCCTGCTCTCTCCCAACTATATGATCTCTCACCATAAATCTCCACCTGAACCTATCATCTTTTTATTCTTTTTATCTCTTACCCAAGAGCCCTCTATCATCCCAGTTCCCCATACCACAATATAGGCAATGTCATTCTATGTGTATGTGTGTGTGTGTGTGTGTGTGTGTGTGTGTGTGTGTGTGTTTGCTAGACCTGGGGCTTGAACTCAGGGTTTGAGCACTGTCCCTGAGAATTTTTGCTCAAGGCTAGTGTGCTACCACTTGAGGCATAGCTCTACTTCCAGTATTTTGGTGGCTAACTGTAGATAAGAATCTCATAGACTTTCCTGCCCAGGCTGTACTTGAACCAAGGTTCTCAGATCTTAGCCTTTTGAGTAGCTAGGATAATAGGTGTGAGCCACCAGCATCTGGTTTCCACTAAGAGTCTTGTATGTTTGGTGCAGATAAGTGGGGAAGATCAGTGTAAATAGCTTAGATATTCTTATTTACCTGCTGATTGTTCATTGGACAATACAGGTTACACACACCATCTCAGACCACAGAGGGCGCAGAGAGTTCTTCTAGTGTGTGAACACTCCTGCTTTCCTGCTCCACACAAGGAGCCAAGGGAGGTTTGTTGTTTCCACAGAACAGAGACTATACCCTCATTGTAGCATTCAAAACCCTTGGTCTATCACACCACACACCACACATCCTGCTGCATGCTCTCTGTTTTGTTCTACATTTACTTCTGAACTGACCAACTAATCATATCCCAAGATGTGAGATTTCAAAAAATCATGCTGGGGCTGGGAAGGTGGCTCAGTGTTAGAGCACTTGCCTTGCATGCATGAGGCCCTGGGTTCAATTCCTCAGCATCACATAAGCAGGAAAAAAAAGCTGGAAGTGGTGCTGTGGCTCAAGTGGTAGAGCGCTAGCCTTGAGCTGAAGAGCAGAGAGATAGTGCCCAGGCCCAGAGTTCAGGCTCCATGACCGGACCCCCCCCCAAAAAAAAAATCATGCTGAAGACTAACTGCTAGTGTACACATACGAGTTTGATTTCTAAGAGATTTGTTCTGTTTATATCTGCACTCAGCCAGCCGGGTGCTGGTGGCTCATGCCTGTAATCCCAGTGACTCAGGAGGCTGAGAGCTGAGGATTAGGTTCAAAGCCAGCCTGAGGAGGAAAGTCTGTGAGACTCATTTCTAATTAGCCATCAGAAAACTGGAAGTGGATGCCGGGCGCTGGTTGCTCACGCCTGTAATCCTAGCTACTCAGGAGGCTGAGATCTGAGGATCGCGGTTCAAAGCCAGCCCGGGCTGGAAAGACCTCGAGACTCCTATCTCCAATAAACCACCAGAAAACCGGAAGTGGCGCTGTAGCTCAAGTGGTAGAGCGCTTGCCTTGAGCTGAAGAGCTGAGGGACAGTGTCCAGGCCCAGAGTTCAAGCCCCACGACCGACAAAAAAAAAAAAAAGAAAAGAAAACTGGAAGTGGTACTGTGGCTCAAAGTAGTAGAGCACTAGCTTTGAGAAAAAAAGCTTAGGGACAGCACCTAGGCCTTGAGTTCAAGCCCTATGACTGACCAAAAAAAAAAAAAAAAAAAGATCTACTCAGCCAAATGGGCAGTACACACACACACACACACACACACACACACACACACACACACACACCTCTGACATCTTGTTTTCTATCTACAGCAGGTCATAACCAAAGGTGGGAACATTTACTTCTGAATCTATCAAAGGAGATAGCCTGATTGATGCTTAGAAGCCACAAACCTGAGATTTCAATGACTGTGGAGTCACAAGGACAATTGACTTTGTCTCAGCCTCTCCAGCCCTGGGCTGGGCAAACAAAGGCACCAGTCAGTATAGTTATCTTGCCAATAACCATGACTTCACTCCTAACAACTACCATTGCTTACTGACTTCACTCTAACCACTATTATGGGCCTACTGCCTATTCTCAGGAATGTTCGCTTTAAAGCTTCACCTGTGGCTGCAGGGACTCTATGAGGAGAACTCCAGATTCCAAACTGCTGTGATATGAGTCTGGTCTGAGTGTGTGTGTGTGTGCGTGTGTGTGTGTGTGTGTGTGTGTGTATGTTCCTGAGACTTGAACTTAAGGCCTGGGCACTGTTCCCTTAGCTTTTTTGCTCAATGCTGGCACTCTACCACTGCCCCACTTATGGCTTTTTGATGATTAATTGGAGATAAAAGTCTCATAAATTTTCCTTTCCATGCTGGCTTCAAATCGTCATCTTCAGCCTCCTGATTAGCTAGCTGAGCCACTGACATCTGGTCTGAGTGGCTTTTTAATTAAAATTTTTATTGTATTGTAAAGGTGATATACACAGGGATTTCATTTCTTTTGGGGCAATGTCACCCCTGTCTTTGTTCTTTCAGTTATATAGTTCATTTTCAACATACTGTAATTTTTTCTTTTTTAACATTTTTTTTGAGACAGGGTCTTGCTATGGAGCCCAGTTGGACTTTGAACTCACATCGCCTCCCGCCTCCCAAGTGCTGGGATTACAGGTACTTGCCAACTACATCTGGCACCATTTTATGCTTTATGGAGGTATAATTCACAAACAGTGATCTGTACTTATGTGGACAATCTAATAAATTTGAACACATATGTCACAAATATCTAAATCAAGAGGTAGAATGTCTCCATCTCCTCCAAGAAAGTCTGCAGATTAGTTGTGCTAGATCTTAGGCTTTGTCCCATCTCAGATGTATCTACAGGTGTATCTATACATGGAATCCTTACAATTCCTTTCCAAGACTTTTCAGCATCTCTAGTTTGGCATTCTCTGAATCTGAGCAGCTTCCAGGAAAAATCCAAGCTTCAGACATATAGATCCCAAAACTAAGTTGCAAGGAATGTAGTGTAGGAACCATAGCAAAGAAGAGGGCAATAAGCTGTCCCTTCAGCACTAGCTGTTCCCTCAATTTGCTGTTCCCTTTGCCCAGAATGTTGTTCCAATTCCCCTTTTAAGCAATGAGATGCTGCCTTCAACTCATGTAGACTGAATACTTACCCATGGCCCAGATCCTTGCTCTTCTTGGGATCTGTTAGTTTCTTGTGTAAACCATCTCAGGTCTTATCCACCAAATTCAATGTAAATGGACATTTGTTATGTTTGTAAATAGATGAGATGCTGTTGCCAGTTCTACTTCACTTGTGACTCACAATACCCCTACCCCAGCTCCAGGCTTTTTGGTTTTTCCTCAGGGAGTTTGTCAACCTCCCTGTGATCCCTAGATTCCCTGGTCTGAGAATCCCCTTTTATTCTTGGTTAACAAAGGGAGCTCTGAAAAAATTATTAAACCATTCCTCAGTAAAGATCTGTTAGCATCTTCAAACATAGCTGGTTGTGATTGTTTATAATCCTAGCTACTTGAGAGGCTGAGATCTGGAGGACTGTGATTCAAGGCCCAGCTAGGCAAAGACATTTTGAGGTCCTCATCTCAACAGGTAAAAGAACTGTTCTGTGCATGATGGCACACATCTGTCATCCAGCTTCTTGGGAAGTATAAATAGGAGACTTCAGTCTAGGCCCACCTGAGCCCAAAATGAGACCTCATTTAAGGAAAAATAAGGAAAATAAAAAGAGCTGGAGGTGTGGCTTAATCTGTAAAGTATCTGCTAGCAAGTGCAAAATCCTCAGTCCTTAATGCTACCCACCCCAAAAGCCCAAACTACTGACGTGAACCCTTTGGTCTGTTCCATGCCTCCTTCTAACCCCCCTGTGCCATTGTCTCTTAGTTCTCAAGCCCTCAGGTTCCATGGCCTCCCTCTTTCAGATCAGATCTGGTCAAGCAACCAAGCCTCCTAAGTTCTTGCTTGGTTCTCTCTGCTCCCTGCTTACTCCTTAATGCCTAATGATACCGCTCAAACCCAAGAAGGGTCTTCTTTCTGTGTGATCTAAATGGGGCTCAGCAAACATTTGTGAATGAGAATCCATTTTATTTTTTGAAATTTACATATATACATACAAAACACACAAACATATGTGTATATATACACACATGTATATATTTGAAACATTAAAATATTTTTCTTTGTATACTTGGATACACTATATTTGAAAAACGTATCTTTAAAACTTGCTGCACACTGATGGCTCGTACCTGTAATCCTAGCTACTCAGAAGGCTTAGTTCTGAGAACTGCAATTCGAAGCCAGCCCTGGCAGGAAAGTCCATGCCACTCTTATCTCCAAATAACGCCCCCTCCCAAAAAAAAAGCTGGAAGTGGAGCAGTGGCTCAAGTAGTAGAGCGCTAGCTTTGAGCACAACTGTGCCCAGGTCCTGAGTTCAAGCCCCGGGACTAGCACAAGCAAGCAAACAAACTTCCTCTCGATAGTCTCCTGGCTTCATCACTCTGCGCATGCGCGTCTTGAGGTCGCGCTGAACTACATTTCCCAGGAAGCCTTGCGACCGCAGTACAACTTCCGGCCAAAGATGGCGACTTCCTAGAGCAACTGCGGGTCTGGTACCAGAGTTTCTTGGCTTCCACATTCCCTGCTCCGTCCAGCCACTCGGAAGCCATGGAAGTGGCAGAGCCCAGCATTCATACCGAAGAGGAGGAGGAAGAGGGAGAGGAGGAAGAGCAATCCGCCGAGCCACGCCCCCGAACGCGCTCCAACCCTGAGGGGGCCGAGGACCGGGGACTCGGGGCGCAGGCCAGTGTCGGCAGCCGCAGTGAGGGTGAAGGTGAGGCGGCCAGTGCTGAGGATGGGACCCCCAATCCAGCGGGAGCGGGCCCCAAGCCCTGGACTGTACCCCCGCCAGCCCCCGAGGTCCAGATTCGTACACCAAGGGTCAACTGTCCAGAAAAGGTGATCATCTGCCTGGACCTATCTGAGGAAATGTCGCTACCGAAGCTGGAGTCATTCAACGGCTCCAAGACCAATGCCCTCAATGTCTCTCAGAAAATGATAGAGATGTTCGTGCGCACCAAGCATAAGATCGATAAGAGCCACGAGTTTGCGCTGGTCGTGGTGAACGACGACTCGGCCTGGCTGTCCGGCCTGACCTCCGACCCCCGCGAGCTCTGCAGCTGCCTCTACGACCTGGAGACGGCGTCTTGCTCCACATTCAATCTCGAAGGCCTCCTCAGCCTCATCCAGCAGAAGACCGAGCTGCCTGTCACCGAGAATGTGCAGACCATTCCGCCTCCTTATGTGGTCCGCACCATCCTTGTCTACAGCCGCCCACCCTGCCAGCCTCAATTCGCCCTGACGGAGCCCATGAAGAAAATGTTCCAGTGCCCATATTTCTTCTTCGACGTTGTATACATCCACGACGGCACCGACGAGAGGGAGGAGGAGATGAGTTGGAAGGACATGTTCGCCTTCATGGGCAGCCTGGATACCAAGGGTACCAGCTATAAATACGAAGTACCTCTAGCTGGGCCGGCCCTGGAGTTGCACAACTGCATGGCGAAGCTGTTAGCTCATCCTCTTCAGCGACCCTGCCAGAGCCACGCCTCTTACAGCTTGCTGGAGGAGGATGAGGAAACTACTGGCGAGGGCGAGGCCACTGTCTGAACCTTCCGAATTCATCCTTGTACTTTTACCCTGGTTCTTAAGTCCCACTTCTTAAATTTAACTCATGGGTATCCTCTTTAGATGTTCCACGAGGCCCTCAGAGTGCTTGGGGGTGAGGGGAGGTCCTGGAATGAAACCCAGGATTCCAGGAGGCCTCCACGGGCTCCTGGCACCCGTCCCTCATTTTTTCCCAGGCCACACTTCACTCCAAGTTTGTCAGTTACAGTTCTTGTTCTCCCTGTGTGTTTTTTGTCATAAAACTATCTCTTGAGTATCTCAAAAAATTAAAAATTTGAAAAAAAAACAAGGCTAGGAGTATGTGCTTTTGTCATTTAACATCATTTATTTTAAATTTTTGCCTATTTTTCCAAAATTTCAAAACATTTCTAATTATGTAGATTTCCTACATAATTTATTTTTTTCTATTAAAATTTTTTGAAATTATTCAGGGACAGCATTTTCAAACACTTGAGTGATATTTGGTGGACATTTAGGTCATGTTGTGTTTTTGGTTACCACATCAGTGCCCGATGGTCTCTGGTCATGTGTTGTCAGGTCAGATTATCTTTTTTTTGGGGGGGGTCCTGAACTCTGGGCCTGGGCACTGTCCCTCGGCTATTCAGCTCAAGGCTAGCGCTCTACCACTTGAGCCACAGCGTCATTTCTGGCTTTTTTCTTTTTTTTGCTTATGTGGTGCTGAGGAATCGAACCCAGGGCCTCATGCATGCAAGGCAAGCACTCTACCACTGAGCCACCTTCCCAGCCCTGTGGTCAGATTATATTGGTGTTTGCCTGTTGTCCCAGGTCAATCATTAATAATGCCTTGCTCACTCTACTAGCTGTCATAACTTGGACAATAAATTATGTAGACCTCCTTTAAGAGGATTTAGAGGAGCAGAGAGAAGAAGCTAAATGGGCAGGGTCAGGGGAGGTGGGTAGAGGCAGTTCCTAGGTTTTTTTGTTGAGTACTTGGGTAGTGGGTGGTGACACCAGTCTTTAGGATGAAGTGAATTTTGGATATAAAGAGTCAGCAGTGTCCACATGACTTTCAAGGGACATTGTCTAGGATGCAGCAGGAAATGAGTCCCCACCCACTGGAAGTCATTGGTATGGGTTACGTTAGGCAGTTAGCTTAAAGCAAGAAGTCATTTCAGGTGTTTCAGTGACACGTTAGGGCATCAGCAGATTGGGAGCAAAGAGAGGAAGATCGTAATTTCTATGAATTTATCTTGATCTTGTCCCTACACATTACGATAATTCTCAGATGCTCAACATTAAAATGTAGTGTCCAAATTTATGCCTTGGTCAAACAAAAAGACACTTGTTAGAAGACACTGTAACAAATGGAAATGTCCTCATTACCTGAGTTATGTAATCCCTCTGTACATCTTTATAATAACAAGTGAATGATTTAAAAGTATATTGAGAGGGAAATTAAAAAATAAACTACCACTACAGGTACAATAGAAAATCAAAGGCACATGTTGACCATTTGGTCAGAACTCTGACTTGATAGGATGTATCTTTTTTTTCTTGTAGGCCTCTGTTTTGGTACTTCTGCATCTTACTGGCAGATAGCAACCTTCTCACTGACAGAAAAGATGAGGCCTAGAGAGAGGTGCAATACCTAATGTTTGGTCTGTGGAATACATCCTAGAACTTCAGAGATGGAGTGAAAAAAATAGCTACCACTTTCACATGTAATTCAGTCCTCACCCTAACCCTACAAAGGGACTGTCACCATCCTCACAGATGAGAAAATACAGGTGAAGGTCCCAAGTGCAGTTTGAACCAGCCTTTGCTTTCTGCCCCCCTGCCTGCCACACAGCCTACTGCCAAGTGGAAGCTGTGCTGTCTTGGTAGGATTCTGCATAGTGATCTGTTGAGTCACACAATTCATCCAGCACAAATACATTCAATATAGACTCTTTGTTCTAGGCTAAAGACAGAGATGAAGTGAACATATCCCCAGCCTGAAGAGACTATATAGTCCAATAGCTGATAGCTACATAAAAACTACAAAACTGCATAACTCTACTGTTCAGTTGGGAAAAAGAAGCCCTTAGGATGGGAGAGATTTCTATAACTCCTTCCCCCTCCCTCCCCTCCCCCACCTTTTTTTTTTTTGCAGTACTAGGATTGAACTAGAATGCTAAGCAAGCTGTCAGCCACTTGACTTACCCTTTTGTATTTAGTTTGCGTGTGTGCGCATGTGCACATACATACATCTTGGTCCTGTGTGCTGTTCCTAAGGCTTTTTTACTCAAGGCTAGAATTCTACAAGTTGATCCACAGATGCATTTCTGGCTTTTTGATGGTTAATTGATGAATCTCACAGACTTTCCTGCCCAGGCTGGCTTCAAACTGTCTCTTGTGTAGCTAGGATTACAGTCACGAACCACTGATGCCCAGTTCTTTGTTTCTGATATAGTCTTGGTACTTTTGTCTGAGCTAGCATTAGAATGAAGTCATTCCTACTGCCATCTCGTAAGAGGTTGGGATTATGGGCTGGGAAGGTGGTTTAGTGGTAGAGTGCTTGCCTAGCATTCATGAAGCCCTGGGTTTGATTCCTCAGTACCACATACACAGAAAAAGCTAGAAGCAGTCTTGAACAAAAGAAGCTCAGGGACAGGTCCTGAGTTCAAGCCCCTGGACTGGCAAAAAAAAAAAAAAAAGCTGGGATTACAGAAATCCACATGTGGCCCTCCATGGTGTTTTTTTGTTTTGTTTTGGTCAGTCATGGGGCCTGAACTCTGGGCCTGGGCGCTGTCCCTCAGCTCTGCAGCTCAAGGCCAGCACTCTACCACTTGAGCCACAGCACCACTTCCGGCTTTTTCTGCTTATGTGCTGAGGAATTGAACCCAGGGCCTCATGCATGCAAAGCAAGCACTCTACCACTAAGCCACCTTCCCAGCTCCTCCATGTGGTTTTTTAAGAGGTAAGAACAGAACTAGAAATAACTCCATTCCTAGTATTAAACAAAAGCCACTCCGTGGTCAATGCACATAAGATGCTCAGCCTCTTCTATGATTTCAGTGTTAGTATGTCCTCATCAAAAGTCAAATTGAGGCTAATTCCCCAATAGAATACTGAGTTGAAAGGGGCCTTTGGGATAGATAATTAGTTTAGGGGGCTCCACTATTGGAGACAGATAATTAGTTTAGGGGGCTCCACTATTGGGATTGATGAGTGTGAAGTACCAGAAAATGGGTTAGATATGGCATGACTGGGTTAATTACCGTAAGACTAGGTTTGTTATAATGTGAGCCCACAGCCCTCTCCCTCTGCTGCTGCTTTGCCATGTTGTGATTGTGGTTAGGGACTGTTGCCAGATGTAACACCACTCTCTTGAACCTCCAGAATTTGGAGCCAAATGCATCTCTTTTCCTTATAATGTATCTAGCATCAAGATTAGCAACACACAAAACAGACACAGATAACGTCTCAGGGAATCAAGGAAACAGAAATTGAAAAAAGATGCCATTTTACTCTCACTTCATTGTCCAGATGGTTTCCAAGTCTGATGGTTTCCATGGGGGAAAGGATGGACAACAGTGCAGTAACACTGACATCAGCCTTCCCCTTACATGATCTCCTATACCAGCCTCTTGAATGACTTCAAAGCCAGCCATTATACCCAGAACACAGTATTACTAGAGATATTCATCTAATAATTCATTATCTAGATAATGTTTGATAATATTTTGAGGTAATATCAGGTGATACTAGATTGCACATTTGTGTGTGTGTGTGGTGCCAGTTCTGGGGCTTGAATTCAGGACCTGTGCCCTGTCTCTTAGCTTTTTTTTTTTTGGCGGGGGGGGGTCCGGTCATGGGGCCTGAACTCTGGGCCTGGGCGCTGTCCCTCAGCTCTTCACCTCAAGGCTAGCACTCTACCACTTGAGCCACAGTACCACTTCCGGCTTTTATTTTCTGCTTATGTGATGCTGGGGAATTGAACCTAGGGCCTCATGCATGCAAGGCAGATGCTCTACCACGGAGCCACCTTCCCAGCCCGTCTCTTAGCTTTTTGACTCAAAGCTGGCACTCTACCATTTGAGCCATAGCTCCACTTCTGGTTTTTTGCTGGCTAATTGGAGTTAAGACTGTCAAGGATTTTCCTGCCCAGGGTTGGCTTCAAACTGCAATTCTCAGATCTCAGCCTTCTGAGTAGGTAGAATTATAGCCACGAGCACCCACTTGCATGGTTTTTTTTTGTTTTTGTTTTTCACAAGTGCAGGCAGCTATCTAGCTATAGGTGACCTGAAATTCCTTTTACAGAAGGGGTGTGGGGAAAGGGCAGTGACTGGCCTGAGATAAACATTTTAAGCTTGCTGGGGCTGGAAGATGAGCAGGAGAAAGGTCCCCTGCAGCCAGAATGACTGACCAGAAAGTAATCTGAGGACCAGGCCTTACTTGCTCATACCTGTAATACTAGTTACTCAGGAGGCTGAGATCTGAAGAACATGGTTTGAAGCCAGCCTGGGCAGGAAAGTTCATGAGACTCTTTTTTTTTTGGTATATATTTTTTATTGTAAAGATACTGTACAGAGGGGTTACAGTTACATGAGTAAGGTAATGAGTATGTTTCCTATTGAGCATTGTTACCTCCTCCGTTATTTTTCCTCTACCATCCCTTCCCTCCCAACCTCCCCAACTCCTCCCACCCCTCAAGCTCCTCCCTGCCCTCTCCATGAGACTCTTACCTACAATTAACCACCAGGGGTCTGGAAGTGGAGCTGTGCTGCTAGCCTTGAGTGAAAAAGCCCAGGGACAGTGCCCAGGCCCTGAGTTCAAGTCCCATCACTAACCAAAAAAAAAAAGTGATCTGAGAAGGGGTCTACCTGGATGGGTTGTAGGGCCATTCTGCAGGAGTGGAGCTGGTGTCTTCTCAAGACCTTCTACTGGGGTGGAACAGTCCTTATAGCTGGCACTCTATAGAGTGCTGGGCCTACTCTTCGGCCTTTAGTCACCTAAACTCCAGGACTTGAAGTTTGATCCCAGGACCTAAGCTGGCTTTGTATGCCAAGGATTCTAGTTGAAGCCCTCTCCTTGGCCTTCCTTGAATGGTTCAGACCAGCAAAGAGACGCTGAAGGGGTAAGCATGGCTAGGAGGGGGCAGCCAGATGTGGGTGGCACACTCTGAGGGCAGCTATAGTGGTGGGTAGGCATCAGACTTCCTAGTGGGAATTATTGCCTCTCTCTTCCCTGGCTCTGCCCCACCCCAGCCTTAGCCTGGGGAACTTGGCTGTTGTTTGGTTTCTCAAGGCTGAAGCTCCAAATTGGTGGGCACGATGCCCAGTTCTGACTACCCTAGCACACTTTGTGGTCTCAGCTCTCTGTGCTGGACTTAGCTTGACCCTCTTCTGGCAGAGAACATAACACATGTCCCTCCCCCGCCATAAGGATGGGGTGGCTAGTCACATGGGTGAGCCACCTCTCGCTATTGGGCAGCTTGAGCCCCTCTCTGTGGCCCTGAGTGAGAATCAGCTCCATGAAAGTTGGGGGGCAGGGAAGAGCTCATCACCATCTGGAGATTCAGTTGCATGAGACAAGTCATTAGGTAACAATACAACAGCATATACTTAAAGGAGAATCTGCCAGGAGCTTCAGAGGAGCTGAGTGGGTGGGGGGAGGAGGAGGACAGATGGAAGTGTGGGTGGCAGGGAGTGGGGGGAGCGTGGTAGCAGGCTCTGACTACAACTTGCATCTCAGCAGATTCCTGAGCTCATTTCTTCACTTCCCCTAGGATGGCCTCTCTGAGACAGATGGAGATAGAGCTGCCTTCCTCACGGCATGGACTGCAGGGTTGGAGGTTTCAGCTGTGGGTAGCAGGCATTGTCTAGAATAGAAGGGGCTTAGGAGAGATGAGGTAGAAGGGGAGAGAGGCCACCCATAGGCAAAGGAAGAGCAGGGCAAGGTTTATGGTGTGGTACAGCACTAGGGAGTGGGAAAGGCACAAGAGACCTGGGTGAACTGGCTCAGGGGAGCTGGTCTCCTTAAATCTGAAGGCACACTTTCTTTCTTACCTCTCTTTCCTTCCTCCCTCCCTCCCTCTCTCTTTTTTTTATGTCAGTTGTGGGGCCTGAACCTGGGCCTGGGCGCTGTCCCTCAGCTCTTCAGTTCAAGGCTAGTGCTCTACCACTTGAGCCACAGTGCCACTTCTGGCTTTTTCTGCTTATATGATGCTGAGGAATTGAACCCAGGGTGTCAAACATGCAAGGCAAGCACTCTACCACTGAGCCACCTTCTCAGCCCAAGGCACACATTTTTGCCCCCATTTTCTGGGGAGCATCTCAGAACAGTTTTTTGGAGCTGTGTTGCATGAAGGCTTCTTTGCTATTTTCCATGTCCTTTTGAGGCTTGAGCATGGCCAGAGACACAAGAAGAGGTCTCCCTGATATATATATCAGCTGAAGTTAGAGGCCTGAAAAGTGCCACTTGGCAAGGCTTAGTCCCTGGTGGACTGGGAGGGACATTGGATCTCCATGCTTAGGCCAAACTCCATCTTGCCTTAATGGGAACATGGTTGCTGGTTTTGTGTGCTGCTTCAGCATCCCTCATTGAATTGCTGAAAACAGAATGGCTGAAGGTTGGCCAATGTCTTTGAAAGGATTGGATGATCATCTCATGACTGGCTTCTCAGTCATTTGGACTTGAAACGATAGGACTGACCCCTGAAGTGTCTTGAACATCAGGTTCATGCATACTAAGGGCCATAGCCTCACGACTGCACATGTGTGTAACTGCACTAGTTTTTCATGAGAACATCAAGCCCTCCTGGGCATCCAGGCTATTGCAGCCCATGTTGCTGCTGTCTGACCTTGAGGTGGGTGAGGTTAGAGGGCTGGAGGTCACTGTTGGAGGTTACAGATCTGGAACAAAATGTGGTAGGTGGGTAGGCTGTGCAAGGTTTTCCTTAAAGAATATCAATTGTGATGGTCTAAGGCAAGTGTCCAATACTTGTCCAGGCAGCCTCAAGGGGATAGTCCCTCTGGCCACAAAGAAACCTGACGGCCCAGATCTTTTCGCCAGGAATGGTGAGTCTTGCCTTCTATCGAAGTCCTGCCTTCCATCTGAAGCCATCTCAAGAAAAGGTTGCCCACCTCCATATCCCTGGCCTGGTCCCCACCAGACTCTGTGAAGCTAGCTGGCTGCCCTGACAATTTCAATCACCAACAGTGAAATACTATTATCCTCACTTTGGGACCTTTTCTCTCCTAAGTCCTGTAGCAAACTGAGCTTCCCCTGTGTGCTGAGTCTGCCTCCAGTGCTTTTGCCCTTGTCCAATACAAGAAGCACCTGTTTCTGCAGGCTGCTCATCCTGGGCATAATAGTGAGCACATCCTTGCATGTAGCAGGGTAGAGCACCAGGCAGGAAACCGGAATGGGAATGGAAGGAATACTTAGTGCTTTGATTTTAATGTGTTCAGGTTTACATCCACAATATGGGCCCACATCTGGCTATAAGCTAGGAGGGGGTTTTACTTAGTGTTAAGATGCCTGGACACTATAGTTTCCTAAAATGAGGACTACAGATATTCCTGTGGTCTCTTCTATGTCATACTACATCACCCTTCTCCTAGCACCCTCCTACTGCTTTTAGGTTCAGGGATTTGGAGTGAAGGCCAGGCCCAGCTGGCTAGGCAAGCACTCAACAAGATTTGCAGATGGTCTCCTAATACCTCAGCAGTTGGACATCCAAGAGAGTTGATGCAAAAGAATAAAGGACCCAGGTGAGACTCAGAAATTGTGGTTTATTGATACTGAAGTAACAGTGGGTTCTGGGAGACCACCCCAGCGGCCCCTCCACCTTAGGGCTTGTCCCTAAGCCCAGGGGAGCTGTTCCTTGTGTCTTGGAACATGGCTCCCAGGAAGCCCACTGAGGCATGCACAGACAAGCCCTTGGCAAGGCCCACACGGCATGTGAATGGCAAAGCTTGGCACATTTGGCAAAGCTGTGGAGCTTTAGTGAAAGCACAGGACTCTAGGGACAGCCCCTTTGGGCTATGGAGGCAGGATCAAACCAGAAACACAGCTTATTTTACGGACAGACCTGGCTTCCAAGTAGCTTGAGTAGAGCTGTCCTCACAGCTCTGGGAATACTGCTGAGGTAGCCAGGGTGTCCAAACCCAAAGTCACCATGGCAGAAAGGAGGCATGTACTGGGGAAGCATGCTGGCCCCCAAGAGGGCAGGAAACCAGTCAATGGCAAGGGGCTTGTCCAAGGCTAACTCCAGACCTTGGAGAACCTGTGCTTCTCCTATGGGGCCTGAGACTTAATGGCTACATTGCCCATTAAAACACACCCATTTCCTATCCTGGATTCTGACTAAAATACTAGATCCCCTTCCCCCTTCCTTGCAAGCTTCAGCTGGGAATCAGCTGTACCTGTGAAAGCAGGGTCTGATCCATTCCAGCTTTTGTACTCCATATAAGGTGCTGGCATCTGCAACTTGATTCTTTTCCAACCCACTTAATTTTAAGAATAGACACTAATAATACTTAATCACCCCTCCCTGCTAGCAGTGGGGGGAAGGGACCTCTATGCTGGCAGCATCTCCACAGGCTGTGCCAGGCTCACCTCGAGTATCCCCCATACCTCCAAAACTCCAGGTTAGAGCCTCTGCAAATTGCCATGTAACCTCTTGTGCCAGACAAAAGGGAAACTGAGGCCCTAGAGAGGTGTAATGATTTGCTCAGCTCATGCAATGAGCTTGTGGCAGAGCTGAGTGAGACCAGTGGTCCTGGCTAGGGACCCTCCCAGGACCACAGCCTGAAGAGGAGGTGGCTCAGGAATCTTGGAAGCTGGAGGTTCTTGGTGACTTGGCACAGCCTGGCTAAGATGAAGGGCCCTCCTCTGTGCCCAGAAGCTAGGACAAAACTAGTTCTCAACAGAGAGAGTACAGATTTCCTTAGCCACAGACCTCTAAAAGGACTGGTTTAGCCCTATCCCAAAGCAACCCTACCCAGGAGTCTGGGGAGGCATTCAGAGCCTTCTATTAGGGAATGAATTATACCCCAAACAGTGTGATCCAGATCTCCTATCTCCATGAGGTGAAACTCTACTTCCAACAGCAATGTACAGAGTAAGATTAGCAGAGCAAAGAATAAAAGAAACCACCACCACCACCACAACAAAAAATGCCACCCAAAACATCAGAAGCCAATATTTCTCTGTCAAGGTTATTGTCATGGGCAGGGTGGAGTCATAATGAAGAGTGGAGCCACATTTCTGTGTCATGCCCAATCCTGTGCCAGATGGCATCCTAACTGGCAGCAGGGCCTTCAGATAGGCTAAAACACCTGGTTGTTGGTGGTGGCCAATCATTCTCTGGATAAATGTCATTTTTTTTGTGCCCCCCTCCCAATTTGTGGGGCTTGAACTCAACCTGGGAGCTGTCCCGGAAATTTTTTGCTCTACCACTTCTAGTCACAGCCCCAGTCCTGATTTTCTGGTGGTTAATTGGACTTTTCTGTCCAGGCTGGCTTTGAGTCATGATCCTCAGATCTCAGCCTCCTGAGTAGCTAGGATTACAGGTGTGAGCCACCAGTGCCTGGCTATGAATGTGTTTTAAGATGCTATCAGGAGACCCTGAGGAGGGCATTGACTGTGAGATCTAAACTTCATCTCTACAGGGAAAAGAGTTGGTATGCCTCAACTCCTTGGAATCTAGTGGTATGCCTACTCCCTTCCTGCTGGATAGTGGACTTGCCTCAGGATGGGAAAACTTGTGTACTTGTCCCATTTGTGAGCTGAGAAAAAGGCCCAGACATTTCGCATACAGCTCTTCAGGGCTTCCTGGAGCCCCCACTGTCTGCAGATGGCTGCTTGATCATCTACATGAGAAACTCAGCTTCTCCCCCTTCTCCAAACCTCTAATAAGGCACCCATTGCTCTCTGGCCCTGCTAGCCTCCTCCTCAGTGCCTGGCTTCCTTGCTTATCCTTCTAACTATTCACAGATTGTATGTGTTCCTTGAGGCCTTTAAGTATTTCCAGTGTCTTTTTTTTTTTTTTTTGTCAGTTGTGGGGCTTGAACTCTAGGCCTGGGTGCTGTCCCTGAGCTCTTTAGCTCAAGGAAAATGCTATACCACTTGAGCCACAGTGCCACTTCCAGTTTTCTGGTGATTAACTGGAAATAAGAGTCTCACAGACTTTCCTGCCCAGGCTGGCTTTGAACCACAATCCTCAGATCTTAGCCTCCTGAGTAGCTAGGATAACAGATGGGAGCCACCAGTGTCTGGCTTTCCAGTGTCTTTTAAGGCTGGTCAGGCTACAGGGCAGAGCCCAGTGGGGAAGGACACGAGCCACAGACCTACATAAGGGTCTCTGCTGACAATGTCAGACTGCCACTGGAGACACTGCTGCCTTTGAGCTTGCCAGAACCTCTTAAACATTTTCCCAAATGAAATCCATGAAATTACACAGACTTTCTGGAACATCCCTATCAAATAGTAATGGTTTCAATGCCTAGCACCTGGCTAGACTTGCCTGGAAAACACCCAGAGCCTTGAAATTTGGGCCCAGACCCTAGCTTATCACAGCTATGGCTCCTGCTAAACACTGTAGAGACTCCTGGGGGTGCACAGCATCACACACACAAAATAAAAACAAAAAAAGAAAACTTCTAGAAAGGTTTCTAGCCCAAGTCATGTCTTCCTAACACAACAAATGCTGCTTTTGTGAGAACTTCAACAGGTCTGTCAGAATCTATGGCGGGCCAGTGGTTTTCCTCTCTCCCAAAGCAGTTTAAGGCACTTAAGTGGCTTATTAACACCACCTGGTAAAGTTTCTGCTTCAATCCTGATTTATGAAAAAAAATCAGTAATACTGCAAAAAATGTTTCCACAAGAAAATAAAAAAAAGGTAAATATTTAAGTTTTCTAAGGAATAGAATAAATGCTAAGCTCTGCTTAAATTATATGACACCATAGGTCATCTTGGCACTGAGAAAACAAACAAACAAAAAACAGATAGAACCTGAAATACTGCTTCTGAATTAAGACTTTTCCCTGGAATAAATTCAAAGACACAAACAAAAGACACATGCAGGTGTCACTGTGAGCTCGGAGCCTCATCTCCCCAGGATGTCCCAGAGAAGAGGAGAGGCCCAGAGGTCCAGTAGTCCCCACATATCATAGGGCTGCCAGGTACAGTGTGCTTCCTTCTTGAGGAAGCCACTCTCTCCTCTTTGGGAAGTCAGCTTGGTCAAGTAGGACCTGCTGGACTTATCTATCGGTCAACCCTCTTTAGTGCCAGCCTTGCTACCATGAAGAAGCCATGAGAAACTGGACTGGACAATCTCCCTGCTGGGACCTATCCTGGCATATACTTGAAGGTTCCTTGGGCCTCCTGGATCTGCCTGAACCACATGGATGCACCTGAGTGATTCATGTACACCCCTGTGTCTTTGGTCAGGTTTCTACCAGATGCTGATGGTCTCTAGTCCCACCTATACCTTGATGGAAGGTTGTGGGCAAGAGCTGGTCCACTTCCCAGGCCACTGTGTTCTTTGGTGAGGTCTTTCTTATTTTTTTTTTTCCTATGCTTTCTACTGAGATCCACCTGCTGAATGATGCGGTTCTGAGGTCATTAGGACAGGCTGTAGCAAGCACCCTGAGTAACTTGGGTGCTGGGGAAGTGCTGTGTAGTGAGCACTCCCTGCCCACAACTACCTGTCAGGTCCTAAGGCCTCTGAAGGGGAGAGTCACAAGGGTGAGAAGGGGTGGTTTGGGGAGCTGGGGGGGGGCCTAGACCATCTAGTTTCACTGTGTAGTGTCGATCTCAAGCTCTGAGAGGCCAAAGGGCGAGTCTTGGCTTCTCCTCTCTGCCTGGGAGTCCCCTGCCTCCTGGATCCTGTTTTCCAGCAGCTCTTGAGGGTCCCTGAGAAAGACCACCATGACTGTGATGTTGTCATGGGAGCCCCGCTCTCGGGCCTCAGCTACCAGCTCCTCAGCAACATGGAGCCCGTTGCCCTTCTGCTTGATCAGGTGACTGTGGACAAGACCAGCGACTTCCTGGTGGGGGACCACATCAAAGAAGCCATCACAGGCAAGCAGCAGGTAGTCCTCAGAGCCCGTCAATTCCCGGGAGGCTGCGTCTGCCTCCCCAGACACATATGGCTTCTGGAAGGCGTCCCCTGGGCAGGAGATGGAAGACCTTGTGTCAGATGCTTCTTCCCATCCACCCAGGTCCCAACCTCAATGTCTGTCACCACAGCAGGCATGCAGCCCAATCTGCTATCTACCATCCTCCTATTCAACCCTGCTTACTGCTTCCCACCTCCCTCAGAGTAGAGCACGACGGCTGTGAGCCCAGCCCCTAGTCTCTACATGGAGGAGGCCTCTCACTCCAGCTCTCCATGCCCTCCCCTGCTTGTGTACAGTAGATTGGGGGCGGGGGCTGGAGGGAGGCTGTAAGGAGGGAGCCGAGGACTGGACACTCAGCAGGGTGGGAGGGACACTGGTGCAGCTGATCCTTTTTGATCCTTTCCTGAGCTACAGACACAAACTCTGTCACTGTCCTGGGAAGTGACTGCAAAATGCAGCTCCCACCAGCCCACACTCTTGAGAGAAAGGGGCTCTAAGACTCTATTGTAGACTGACGCTTGCTTGGTTAGGTGGTCTAAACACTTTTTGTACTTACAATATTTTCAATTTATCAGGGATTTATTGGGAGGCCATACCTTTATTGAGTCCAGGAGTAGCTATCAATTGCACATTCTTTTTATTTATTTTTTTGGTCCCAGTCCTGGGGCTTGAACTCAAGACTTGGGCACTGTCCCTGAGCCTTTGTGTGCAAGGCTAGAGCTCTACCACTTGAGCCACAGCTCCACTTCCAGCATTTTTTTAGATAAGTGTCTTACAGATTTTTTTTTTTGCCTGGGCTGAGATCCTCAGAGATCTCAAACTGAGATCCTCAGATCACAGCCTCCAAAATGGCTAGGATTACAGATATGAGCTACCAGTGACCAGCTTAAACTACAAATTCTTTTTGGCACATTACACTTTCCTAAACTACAGGATGGGCCTGTGGTTGCATCTGGGTTAGGGTCTGTAACCGCCTTACCAATAGCTCTAGACACAGCCAGGGTCCTGTTGACTCTCCAGCAGTCCATGAAGGACACGAAGCCACCCAGTGCTTCAATTCGTGCCTTTTCATCCTGTGGGGAGACAGTGAAAAGTGAAGGGGCCCTGAGTGACTTCATGGGATGGGGGCCCCAATACCACTGCATAAACCAAGACATTGAGCTAGCTTCTTTTCCTTTCCTCCCTCCCTCCCTCTAATGTGTGCCTATACTGGGGCTTGAACTCAGAACCTTCAGGGCCTAGTCTCTGTACCTTTTTCGTTCAAGGTTCATGTTCTACCACTTGAGTCACAGCTCCATTTCCATTTTTTTTTCTTCTGTTGGCTGTGGGGCCTGAACTCTGGGCCTGGGCACTGCCCCTCAGCTCTTCATCTCAAGGCTAGTGCTCTACAATTTGAGCCACAGCGCCACTTCTGGCTTTTTCTGCTTATATAGTGCTGAGGAATCGAACCCAGGACCTCATGCATGCAAGGCAAGCACTCTACCACTGAGCCACCTTCCCAGCCCCTCCACTTCCATTTTTTGGGTGGGGGGTGGTTAAATGGACATGAGTCTCACAGACCTTCCTGCCCAAGCTAGCTTCAAACTTTGATCCTCAAACTTAGCCTTCTGAGTAGTTAGGATTACAGGCATGGGCCAATGGTGCCTGGCTCATGTGGCAAGTAAGTATGGCACATGACACAGGTCTCACAAAGCCTTAGCTAGCCCTAAGGGGCAAACCTCTGCCTATTCCTTTCTTCCTTTTCCCAAGCTTCGCCCCAGGTACTGTCTTTGCTTGCCAGAGGACCATAGTGCTCCAGCCTTAACTGCTTCTCAGAAGACAACAATAGAGTCTCAGTCTAGCCACAAAAATCTTGTGGAAAGCTTCTTTGGTCCTACATGTTCTCTCATGGAAGAAGGCTTTGCACACAGGAACCTGTCAGCTGAAGGCTGGTGACAGTAGTGGAGTGTACCCCACGTCTTGCATGGGAGTGAGGCTCATGCATGTCTATTTTTTAAGTTAACTTCCTGACTCACTGCATGCTCAGAGTGGGCTTGGGGCACCATACCAGTTGCTTATGAGAACATTGGCACCCTAGGAGACAGTGTTGGCCAGAAAGACAGAGACATTAGTCCCCCTTCTTCCTTTCCATCCCTACACAGGAGCAGAATAACTAGAGGCTGGGAGAACCAAAGCCTCTCTCCAGATTCTGGCACTAAGGACTGGGCATCCTTGTGGGGTTCTCAAAACATCATGGTAGGAATGACAGGCTCCCATCTGGCAGGTTGGACATCCTTCCCACTGGAAGTGGTCCCTTGTCTCAGCTTGTGGAGAAATTATTTGTTGTTGTTGGTGGTTATGGGGTTTGAAGTTAGGGCCTCGGCTGTGTCTCTGAGCTTTTTCACTCAAGGCTAGTGCTCCAACACTTTGAGCCACAGCTCTACTTCCAGTTTTCTAGTACTTTAATTGGAGATAAGAGTCTCAGGGACTTTCTTATCCTGACTGGCTTTTGAAGTAGCTAGGATTTCAAGCATGAGCTACCAGCCCATGGCTTCTCTGTCTGATCCCATTTGTGAGACATGGTCCAAGCAGCAATGTCACTCTCACATCCAGGTAAGGATCCGAGGCCCAAACAAGTGAAACACCAGGACCCCAGGATCCCAGAGTAGTGTCTGCCTACTGAAGTTCCAAGACTTGTGCCCTTCTGCTCCAGTGCAAGGTCACCTCCTTGTTCTTGCTCTGTGGTTGGCCATTCCATGCTGGCACACATCATAGGCCTATGTGTTAGGCAGAGCTGGCCCCACTGCCTGGGCCATCTGTTGGGTCAGAAGGCCCAGTTCTCATCTGGAACCCCAGGTTCCATATCACTGTGACCCAAAGGACTCTCAGGAAGGGCTCATTTGCAATACTCTGTCTACTTGGTCAGGCAAGAGAGTTTCCAAGGCCCTTTGTGCTGCCTAACTTTCCCTGACAATACCCAGTTGGGGTTCCTTGACATTCTGTTTTCTCTATGAGGTCCCCAGACTTAGGTTCCCAATACAACACATCCTGGGCTTAAGCAGAGGGAATTCTTTACCTGTCGCTCAGGTTTGTGTGGCTCCATCAGCTTTACCACCTGTCCCTGCTGCACCAGGATAACCTGGGAGTCCCCGAGCCAGGCGATGTGCAGGGTCTTTCCGGCAATGAGAGCACATACTCCTGTGGTGCCACTCTGCAACCGCTGCAAGGAGAGCCCAGATGGGATGAGATGTAACACGACTGGTGCTCTTACATTTGAGCCAAGCTTTTTGCTGGTAAGCTGGAGATAGGAATGTGGAGGACTTATGTGCCTGGGCTGGTTCTGAATCATGATTCTCAGATTTCAGACTCCTGACTAGGATTAGAACTATAGCTTCCTATTGAACAGCACTGGAGTTTGAACTCCGTTCCTTATGCCTTCCTAGCAAGGCACTCCTTCAGCTCTGAGTTCTTCTTTCTTAACCTAGTGACTCATTTCTACAAATGACTCCAGAATGTTCCTGAGGAACACTAGCAACTTAGGGAGACCGGGCTGAGCTAGAGCAGTGGAACTATGTGCTGATCACAATCTGCATATTTAAATTTTTGGTGATACTGGAGTCTGAGCTCAGTCTCATATTTGCTAGGTAGATGATCTATCACTACAGTGATGCCACTAGACATTTTTGCTTTTTTTTTTTTGTCGGTCATGGGGCTTGAACTCTGGGCCTGGGTGCTGTCCCTCAGCTCTTCAGCTCAAGGCGAGCGCTCTACCACTTGAGCTACAGCGCCACTTCTGGTTTTCTGGTGGTTTATTGGAGATAGGAGTCTCACGGTCTCTCCTGCCCGGGCTGGCTTTGAACCGCAATCCTCAGATCTCAGCCTCCTGAGTAGCTAGGATTACAGGCGTGAGCCACCAGCGCCCGGTTACATTTTTGCTTTTATGATTCTATATTTTTGGCGGGGAGGGGGGGAGACTTGGTGTTTTTGCCTGGAGATGGCCTTAGATTATGTTCCTCTGACCTATACCTCCTGAGTAACTGAGATTACAGGAAGGTAGAGCCATGTCAAGCTTGTTTGTTGATTCCACTATACATGATCCATGTGAGCTGCTATATGACCACAGTTGGCTTTTTTTTTTGTGCCAGCCCTGGGGCTTGAACTCAGGGCTTGAGCTTTGTCCCTGAGCATCTTTTTGCTTAAGGCTAATGTTCTAGCACTTAAACCACAGTACCTTGAGCTCTGTCCCTGAGCATCTTTTTGCTTAAGGCTAATGTTCTAGCACTTAAACCACAGTACCATTTCTGACTTTTTCTGAGTAGTTTATTGGAGAGGAGAGCTCTTCTCATGAACTTTCCTGCCTGTGCTGGCCTGAAATTATGATCCCCAGACCTCAGCCTCCTGAGTACCTAGGATTACAAATGTGAGTCACCAGCACCTGGCTATAGTTTGCATTTTTGTGTATTTTATGATATGCTGTTATCTGGAGCATTGATGATCCTGGAGACTGCCCCATGGCTAGCTAAGTCCTAGAGTCAGCATGTCTGCTGTGAGTGCACCTTTCATAGGTAGGCTCTCTGGTTTGGAGCTCATGCCCCAAACATGTCTTCACTTTATATAGTAGGCAAAGTGTCCCCTGCTCTGGTGGCTTCAGGTAGTGAGAGCAGGCTAGGAGTCATTCTGGTAGTTCAAAATCCCCAAGTCTGATCTTGCTGGGGCTTAACTGGGCCTATTTAGTGGGCTATGCTTGCCTGTCTCCCTCGCCTCCTAACCAACTGTGGTACTTCCCTGGGTGGTCCTGTGTGGCAATAAAATCTTTCTAAGCATTTGTCTGACTTGTCTGTCACCTTTCCATATATATATATTTGTTTATTTTGGTGCTGATCCTAGGGTTTGAACTCAGGGCCTAGGTGCTATCCTTGGCCTTTTTTTGCAAAAGGCTAGCACTCTATCACTTGAACCACAGCTCCACTTCTGGCTTTTGAGTGGTTAAATTGAAGATAAGAGTCTCAAGGACTTTCCTGCCTGGACTGGCTTTGAACCAGGATTCTCAGATCTCAGCCTCCTGAGTAGCTAGGATTGTAAGCATGAGCCATGTATAAAGCAGGTGCTCCTTCCTTCTGTGGCCTACAGACCATCTTCAAGTCTATATTGCTGGGGGCCTGGCATGATGTTTCAGGGGTGCTAAGGTCTAGAGATAGTCTTTGAGATAGTCTAGAGATAGGCTTTGTGTGTTGAAATTTAATTCCCATGGTAAGATATCGTGAGGATGGAAACTCAATCCAAGTATGAAATTTAGAGGGAATGTCTTTGGGAGGGGACTGGTGTTGGATAAGGTCATTAGGGTGGAATCCTGGTGCTTTATAAGGAGAGGGAAGGAAGTAAAAAGAAAGACAGGCAGACACTAACACCCACACCACTTCTACCACTACAACCACCACCACCTATACCACAACACACAAACATGTACTCTGTCTCTTGTCATGTGATGCTCTGAGCCACTTGGGGATTCTGCCAGCAAGACATTACCTGGTGAGCTCTTTGACCTCGACACCTCCAGAACCATGAGCTAAAACAATCTTCTTCTATTCAACATTTCCCAGCCTCAGGTATTTTATTATAGTAAGAACCACCACTACCACCACCACCACTACCACCACACAAAAAAGTTCCCACAGTAATAAAGGGGAAATCTTTGTGCTATTTCCATTCTAAGTAAAAAAATGAGTCCCTCCCTCTAGTAAGAATGAAATGGCATGGCCCCAACAGTATTCTGTAAGGACCACCCCAGGTCACCAACCACTTCACTTTCTTTTCCTCTGCAGAAGCCACGACTCTCTAACGCATTTAATGGCTATTAGTCCCCCAATGCACTTGTGATCTGGCTGCTTGTTCTTACCTCTCTCTTGGCTTTCCAGAGAAACATGTCATCAGTGAGCTGGAAAGCTTCTTTGAGGGCTCCAGCAGGGTCTGTGGGCAGTTGTGGCCGGTGGGCAGCATTGACGTGCACATGAACAGCAGCATACCTTGCAGCATCCACGCCTCCATGACCATCAAACACAGCAAAGTAGGCACGATCCACAGGGTCCTGATGGGAAGGCAGTGGGAGTCACATAACGCTGGCCTTGTACCTAGTGAGGCGGGGACCCTAGCCAGTTGCACTCACCTGGTGGGGAGGGGAGGGGGGAGGGGAGAGGAGGGGATTACAGCCTTGGCACCAACTAAAATCATGTTATAGTTTCATTGTATGTCTCCCAGAATTCCTGTGTTGAAAATTAATCTCCAAAGGCTGATGCTTATGATATTTGGAGGTGGGACTTTAAGAGGCAATTGGGGGTGATCTACTTATGGATGAATGCATTAACGAGAGAGTGGTTTTGTTAGAAAAGAGAGCTCTCTTTGGCAGCTTGTTCTGTTTCAAGAGTGTGATACAAAGCATTGATTTAGGACTCTGCACAGAGTCCCCACCAATAAAAATCCCTTCAACAGATGGGAGCCCCTTGACCTTAGCCCTCCCAGTATCTAGAATTGTAAGAACACATCATTGTTTTCCCTTTACAAATTACCTAGTCTCAGGTTTTCTGGTATAGGCAACAGAAAACAAGCAGAGACAGGTTAAGTCTGAAAGAATCAACATGGCCTTCACCGTTACACCAGTCAACTTGGCTAAGTATGCCTGTTAGGTCTCAGAGGTTCTGGGTCCTGCCAGCTATGTAAGGTGGCTGCAAACATAAAATGAGCTGAGATGCTGCAGATGGCTTCTGTGCTAGAGGCTGAGCAAGGCTCAGCAATACAAGTCTGAACTTGGTACTAAGCCTTGTCTTCTATCAGATATGGGGCAACTGTTGCCTGCCTTCCTTCTTCCCTTCCTGCCTTCCTTGCTTTCTTTCTTCCTTCCTTCCTCCCTCCCTCTTTCCTTTTTTCCTTCCTTCCTTTCTTGTCCTGGGCTTGAACTCAGGACCTGGGCTCTATCCCTGAGCTTTTGCTCAGGGCTAGTTAGTGTTCTAGCACTTGAGCCATAGCCCCACATCTGGCTATTTTGGTAATTTATTGGAGATAAGAGTCTCATGGAAAGTCTGGTGCTGGTGGCTCATCCTAGCTACTCAGGAGGCTGAGATCTAAGAATCGTGGTTCAAAGTCAGCCTGGGCAGGAAAGTATGTGAGACTCTAATCTCCAGTTAACCACTCAATGACCAGTAGTGGCACTGTGGCTCAAAGTGGTAGAGTACTAGCCTTGAGCAAAATGATCAGGGGCAGTGCCCAGGCCCTGAGTTCCAGCACCATGACTGACCAAAAAAGAAAAAAAAAAGAGTCACATGGACTTTCTTGCCTAGGTTGGCTTTGAACCCTGATCCTCAGATCTCAGCATCCTAAGTAGCTAGGCATGAGCCATTGGTGCCAGGCTCAACTCTTGCTTTAATTTTCAAACTTTGCTTTGGATTCAAGGTGACTAGTAGCCTGGCTCAAAGGTGCTAGTGCTGTGAATTAACACCCGCCCCCCCCAGGTTTCTCAAAGAGCCAGCCACCAGATACTTTGGCCTTGAAACAGCAACTGAGAAGCAGTTCTTCTGGCTCAGCTTTAGTTGGCCGCATTTCTCAGCACCCAGGGTTCCAACCTCCTGCTTAGGCTCCCTCTGTGCTATCCTGGTGCTGGACACTGGGCTATGCAGGCAGAAAACTCACTGAGAAGCCGAAGAGATGATTGAAGAAAGGAAGGGACACATGCCGATCCTCCATCTTGCGGCGAGTGTTCCGGATGGCATGGATAGAGACCAGCCACTGCCGTGGTGGGGTCTGGGCAGTCAATGGCAACTGCTTCTGCCACTGGCCACATACTTCCCAGAGCTGGTTAAAGAAACTCCGTGCCAGGCCTTTGGCATCTAGTACTGATGGGCAGGAGAGAAGAATGGTTAGAGATGTACAGACTAGGCCAACTGAAGCTTTATGGACCCCTTGAACAAACTCTTTTACTGCCTTCTCCAGTTTTCCAGATGGATCCTACCAATCAATCATCTTCCAGGACCTTCTGAGTGTGCCAACATACTACACTACGCACCACAACATGTTGTCAGCTAGATAGATGTTGCTGGTTTTGACAATATGTACTCAGAAGTCTCCTGGCCCACAATGGAGTAGTTCCATCATGGTTTGCCACATGGTTTGCAAAAAATAAATTAAGGATAAAATACAGAACCATTTAAAATTGCCCATTAACAAAAAATGCTATATATCTAATGACAGAAGAATAATTAAACTCTGGTCTATTCTCTTGATGAAGAATTAAGTTATTATTAAAAAGATTTTTGCAAGGGCTAAAGGCATGACTCAGTGGTAGAATACCTGCTTAGCAAGTACTAAGTCCTGAGGTTTTTTTTTTTTTTTGGGTCCAGTTGTGGGGCCTGAACTCTGGGCTTGGGCGCTGTCCCTCAGCTCTTCAGCTCAAGGCTAGTGCTCTACCACTTGAGCCACAGCGCCACTTCCGGCTTTTTTTGTTTTTGCTTATGTGGTGCTGAGGAATCGAACCCAGGGCCTCATGCATGCAAGGCAAGCGCTCTACCACTGAGCCACCTTCCCAGCCCCCTAAGTCCTGAGTTTAAACCTCAGTAGCATGGGCGCATGCGCGTGTATGCGCACACTCCCTCCTCCCCCAAACACCAAAACTACCAAAATTCCGAACAGTACATCTAACTGCCATATGACCCAATAATTGCAATGCTGGGCACTAGTTCCAGAGAAATAAAGACTTCACAAAAACCTGAATGTGAATGTTCACAGTGGTGTTATTAGTAACAGCCAAAATCTGGAATCTGCCCTTATGTCCTTCTGTAAGTGTTAAACAAAAACCAGTGGTCCTCCCGTCTCCTGGAAGATGGCAACAGAACAGAGTGAAGCATTGACATGGAAAAATGGGGTTCATCTGCATAGAATTCTGCTGAGTGTTAAAGACAATCCTCAAAAGTTGCATATTATATGATTCCATTATAAGCATTTTTTTTTCTTTTGGCAATACTGGGGTTTGAACTCAGGACCTTGTGTTGAGTAGGTTGGTACTCTACCATCAAGTCATGCCTCTAGCTCTTTTCTGTATTGGTTATTGCTGAGATAAGATCTTGCTTTATTGGACCTTAACCCTCTTATTTTTTGCTTCCCGCTGTAGCTGGGATGACAGGCACATAATATCATACCCCTCTTCTTCTTTAGAGATGGGAGTCTTGGAAACTTTTTTGTACAGGCTAGCTTGGAAATGCAATTCTTCAGATCACAGCTCCCCACATGGCTAGGATGACAGGTGTGTGCCCCACACCCAGCTATTGGTTTATAAGGGGTCTTGTGAACTTTTCAGCCTGGGTGGGCCTCAAGCTATGATCTTTCCTATTCCAGCCTTCCATGTGGCTAGGACTAATGGTGAGCTGGTATTGACACATCTTGAAATGACAAACTGATAGAAATGAAGATTAGCAATTGCCAGTATTTAGAGAACTGGGTATGTAGCATCTGATTGGCTACTAGTGGATAATAAAGGTATCCTTTGTGTTTATGTTATGATCCCATTTGTGATGTTTTATTATAATTTTGCTGGAGGTTACCTCTTCTGGGCACTGTGATTCACATCTATAATCCTAGCTACTTGGGAGGTGGAGACAGGAGGGTCAAGGGTCAAGGCTAGCTAGAGCAAGACTCTTATTTCAGCTAGGTAGTAGTGGTAGCTGACACCTGTAATCCTAACTACTCAGAAGGCTGAGATCTGAGGAACGAGGTTTGGAGTCAGCCTGGGTAGAAGAGTCCAGAAGACTCTCTACCTTTAAGTAACCAACAAAAAAAAAATAGACTAGAGTTGTGGCTCAAGTGGTAGAGCTCTAGTCGTAAGTGAAAAAGCTAAGCAAAATGTGAGACTCTGAGGTCAAGTTCTGGTACTGGAATTAAAAAAGAAAAGGAAGCTAGGTGCTGGTGGCTGATGGCCTGTAATCCTAGCTTCTCAGGGGGCTAAGATCTGAGGATTGCGGTTCAAAGCCAGCCAAGCAGGAAAGTCGGTGAGACTCCTATCTCCAGTTTACTGCCAGAAAACTGGAAGTGGCACTGTGGCTCACAGTGGCAGAATGTTAGACTTGAGCAGAAAAGCTCAGGGACTGAGTTCAAGCCTCATGACCCACAAAAAAGAAAAAAAAAAAAGGAAAGAAAAGAAAAAAAAGTGGGGGGCATAGTGTGTGTGTCTGTAACGCCAGCTATGCAGGATGGAGAGACAGGAAGAGAGAGATCTCACTCAGAAGCAGGTCTGAGCAAAAACCAATAGGCCCTATTGGAAAAATAACAAAAGGAAAAAATATGGCTAGAGTTATGGCTCAAGTGGTGCTTTTTGCTTACTAAGTGTAAAACCTTGAGTTCAAAATCCCAGTACTGACCTTAAAGAGGTTATCCTTGAGGAAACTGGATAATATGTTCATGGATTCTGCATTAGTTTTTACAAATGAATATGCCACTATGATATTTCAAAACAAGGATAAAAATGGACTCTTACATAGTTTACAAGCATGTAAAACTTTTATACCATGATTTTTGACTGAGAAAAAAAATATGACATGTATTCTTCTATTACAAGTATGTGAAAAACCACTTAAACCCAGGACAGAAAAAAAAAAAGAGCATGCCTTGCATGTCTGAGGCCCTGGGTTTGATTCCTCAGCACCACATAAGCAAAAAGAAAAAAGTTGGAAGTGGCGCTGTGGCTCAAGTGGTAGAGCGCTAGCCTTGAGCTGAAGAGCTGTGGGACAGCGCCCAGGCCCAGAGTTCAGGCCCCACGACTGGACCCCCCCCAAAAAAAAGTGTTTAGAAAAAAAAAAGAGCAGAAACCACACACAATTAAGATGGTCAGTAGTGAGTACCTACAGGGGCTGGTTCTATGGGTGAGTGTTCCCTTTATGTGTCTTGTCTTTTCTTTCCTTTTTGTGTGTCACTTCTAGGGCTTGAACTCAGGGCCTGGGCACTAGCTTCTTTTGTTCAGAGCTAGTACTCATTTGAGCCACACCTCTACTTCTGGCTTTTTTGTGGTTAATTGGGGATGAGTCTCATGGACTTTCTTGCCTGGGCTGGCTTCAAACTGCAATCCTCAGATCTCAGCCTCCTGATTAGCTATGATGACAGGTGTGAGCCACTGGCACCTGGCTCTTATGTGTGTTTTTAAAATATGTTAATTTTTCATCACAAGTGTTTTCCCTATGGCTTTAAAGTACGTCTGTGAATGTTCTGCCTTTTTCCTTTCCTTAGGCACAGCTTAGGTCCTTCCCCTTGAAAGCATGACTTTGTGAACTTTGCTTCTACCAAATGCAATAAAATGGAAGTGACCATGTGTGGTTGGGGGGATTACTTGCACTCATGCTCTCTGCTCTGCTTAGGAGCAGATCCCCCAGGCAGTGACAACCATCTGACCACAACTTCATGAGCGCCTGGACAAAATCACCTACCTAAGCTGCTCCCAAATTGCAGACATATGGACCACAGAAGGGAAAAACTGTCACTTTAAGCTTGTAATTTTGGGGATAGTTGATAATGTAACAACAAATGCTATACCCTACAAAATCTCAGTGAAGCTTATATCCTAAACAAAACATGTAGCCAGGCACCAGTGGCTCATGCCTGTAATCTTAGCTAGTCAGGTGGCTAAAATCTGAGGATCTCTGCTCAAAGCCAGCCTAGGCAGGAAAGTGAAACTCTTATCTCCAATTAACCACCAAAAAGTTGGAATTGGAACTATGGCTTGTGGTAGAGTACTATCCTTGAGCCTTAAAGGCTAAGGAACAGTGCCCAGGCCTAGAGTTCAGGCCACAGTACAGGCACACACAAAAAAAGATCTTCTTGATCTTTGAACCAGGTCCAAAGGAAATGCCCAGGGCTCTGCCTTCAGGGATTCACTTCATTTCAATGAACAAATCTCTCATGGGACTCCAGTTCTGGCCAGTCCAGGTATACATGGCAGGTATAAGTGAGTCAGAACCAGTCCCTTAGCTGGGCGCTGGTGGCTCACGCCTGTAATCCTAGCTACTCAGGAGGCTGAGATCTGAGGATCGCGGTTCAAAGCCAGCCCGGGCAGGAGAGACCGTGAGACTCCTATCTCCAATAAACCACCAGAAAACTGGAAGTGGCGCTGTAGCTCAAGTGGTAGAGCACTCGCCTTGAGCTGAAGAGCTGAAGGACAGCGCCCAGGCCCAGAGTTCAAGCCCCACGACCGACAAAAAAAAAAAAAAAAAAAGAACCAGTCACTTAAGAATGGAATTCAAGGTCAAGTCAGAGGAAAAAGGGCAGAGCCTGAGTACTGCAGACCATAGGACATGAGGAACTGGGAGAGTAAGTGTTCTCAGACAGGGTTGTGGCTGTGGAATAAAAAAGAGCTCTGAGGCTAGAGAAAGTCACAGGAGAAGAGCCTATGAGCTGGGATCTTGGAACACAGGAGGCCACAGAAGGATGAAGTTGAGGGGAATGCTGCATTAAGTTTGGGGTAAGGTCTAGTACTGACTATTATCCCATATCCAGGATAGGGCCTTGTTTTAAGCACTGACAAGAACTGTGGGACTGGCAGGGCCAGACTGAGAGTATGGGTGCAAAAGAGGATAAAGGACCAACTTGGTGGGCCTAGCTTATGGCCAGCAGCTCCATACATCTCTGTCCTAACAGATACAGCCAGTCCTCATGGTGCTGACTCCCAGGCGCCCCTCTCCCTCTCCTCTGTTCAGAAAACCACCTGGAAAACTGCTGTGGGCTCCTTCTCACTCTTGCTGGAAATTGCTGGTGCTTATCAGGCTCAAAGTACACAGGGAGCACATAGCCCTCAGCTGCCTCTTTCCTTTCCACTGCTACTTCCATTCATGGGTTTGGACTTTTTTTTTTTTTTGGTCAGTCATGTGGCTTGAACTCTGGGCCTGAGCTCTTCAGCTCAAGGCGAGTATTCTACCACTTGAGCCACAGTGCCACCTGTGGTTTTCTGGTGGTTAATTGGAGATCATGTAACTGTAACTCCTCTGTACAGTATCTTTTTTTTTTTTTTGGGTCCAGTCGTGGGGCCTGAACTCTGGGCCTGGGTGCTGTCCCTCAACTCTTCAGCTCAAGGCTAGCGCTCTACCACTTGAGCCACAGCACCACTTCTGGCTTTTTTTCTTTTTGCTTATGCATGCAAGGCAAGCGCTCTACCACTGAGCCACTTTCCCAGCCCCTCTGTACAGTATCTTTACAATAAAAAATATATTAAAAAAGAAAATAAAAACGCATTATTAACAGAAAAATAAAAGTCTCACAGACCTTCCTGTCCAGGTTGGCTTTGAACTGCAATCCTTAGCTCTCAGCCTCTTTTGAGTAACTAGGATTATAGGTATGAGCCACTGGGCACCCAGCTTGAACTTGAATCTTGCCCAAGCAAAGAGCAGTTACAAACAAGGATGATAAGCTTGAACAGTGATTCCTGGTCCTCAGGTGATTCCTGGTCCTCAGGTTACTGGATCCTTGACCTGCTCCTCTGGCTAAGAGCTATGGACCTGGAGCTTTATAACTTCCTTATTAGGAGGCCTGTTTGCTCAAGCTTGTAATCCCAGCTACTAGAGAGGCTGAGAGCTGAGGATCCCAGTTCAAAGCCAGCCTGGGTAATCTCCAACTGACCACCAAAAAAACTGGCAGTGGAGGGAAGGGACAATGTTGTCCAAAAAGAAAGGTACTCTTTTGTTGTGGTGGTGATGTTAGTTCAAGGGGCTTGAGCTCAGGGCCTGGGCACTGATCCTGAACTCTTACTTAAGGCTAGTTCTCTACCATTTTGAGCCACAGCACCACTTCCAGTTTTCTGATGGTTAAGTGGAGAAAAGAGTCTCACAGACTTTCCTGCCCAGGCTGGCTTTGAACTGTGACTCTCTGATCTCAGCCTCCTGAGTGGCTAGGATTACAGGCATGAGCCACCAGTGCCTGGCAAGAAATGTATTTTTTACCCGACTTATGTAACTGTAACCCCTCTGTATATCACATTTCTAATAACAATAAAAATTTAAAACAAAAAGCTGGAATTGGAGCTGTAGCTCAAGTGGTAGAGTGCTAGCCTTGAATGAAAAAGAAAAAGACTTCTCTGGTCCTGAGTTCAAGCCCTTGTACTGGCACAAAACAACAACAACAACAAAACCAAACTAACAACAAAAACAATAACAAAAATCTACGACCAGAGAGAAGTGGTAGGCACAGAGGCTTCAAGTGTATCTGCACTTTGGGTGCTAAATTTCACAGTGCCTGCCCTGATACAGTTTGTGCAAGAATGGCTTGCAGATAACAGACTGTGCTAGGTTCTGTGAGTAATCAAGGCACTAGCCCAGGTCTGCATGATACTGCTGTGGGGCCAACAGGGAGGGCAGGGCAAAGCAAGCTGTGATTTTCTAGGTCTTCCTTCCTTACAGGTCCCAGGTGTAGGGCTTGGCTGTGCCAAGTCAGGGCAGTTCTCTTTCCCACCAGCAGGTGATGCTGTTTCCTGCCTGGACAGACAAAGGAACTAGCCAGGGTTGGCTGGGGTGGGAGAGTTCCCTTTGTGGGTCCACTTGGTGGCAGCTGCCACTGCCGGAAATCTGTCCGCTTTGTGAAGAACAATGGCTGCCTGTCATTGAGGACAGCTGTCTCCCAGGGAGGGAGACAAGGCTGTGCTCAGATGGAAGGTGGGATGGGAGCCAAGGAAAAAGGGACCAGGAGGAGGAGGGAAGTGGCCTGGCACACAGGATGCTAAATGCCTTGAGTGTTTTTTCTCTTTTCCTCCACTTTGTCTTTTGCTTTTCCCTTTATGCATAGGATAATGCTGAGTTTAAAGGAACACAGACAGGAAATGGCAAAGAAAGGGAAGATGTGCTTCCTACTGCCTGGATGACTGTTGCAGAGGTGAATTTCCAGCTGGAAAAAAAGCCACACACACTCCTTCTGGATCTGCCCTGCAGCCTGTCACTTTCTCTTCCTGTAGCTTTGGTCCAACATGAACTAACGCCTTGGTCAAATACAATAAAAAGCAATTACTAGGAAATAAAAAAGTCACGCAGTACAAGAGCCTTGCATTTTAACAAGCAGATTATCTGTCAAATGGCTTTGCAGGCTTCTGGTTGTTCTGTGGTGTTTCTGGTGCCCCACTGATGGCAGACAGGTGACAGGTGAGCCTCTATCACCACCTCAGCATGAGGGTCACAGATACCACTGCAGGTCTCCATCTAATTATCTTGCCTCTAGTGAGCTGAGACCAAGGTGTTCCCTCTGTGACATTTTCTACCACCTGGACCATGATGCTGCCCCTGTGGATGGCTCACACATCACTCTGCTGACTGACCTCCAGTTAACTGAGGGAAAACAGTGAGTGCACTTAATCTGGCCACCTGACTGAGAATTATCACCTTGGATTCCTCACATGTAAAAGAGGACAGGCTTGATTGAGACCAGTCCCAAGGTGTATGTGAAATAGGACCTAAAAGGGAATATGGCACGCATGGAGGCCCTGTCTTGTTGGGTGACTGGCATGGAAAGCCAGGTGCTTTTTTTCTGCCCCTTGATCCTGCCCCTCTGACTGGCTTTGAGCAACATACTGCTCATAACGTTACCCTAGTGATGTGCTATGCAGCCCAGCACCACCCGAGAAGAAAGCAACTCACAGGTCACAGGAGGCTTCTCTTCTTCCTCTTCTTCCTCCTCCTCTTGCCTGGGCAACTTCCTAAATTCAGTAAGGTCTGTGTGTAGCAGCTGGGAAATGGCTTCATGGGTCAGAGCTTCAGCAACTGATGGTGGAGCATTCCTAGGGACAAGAAATGAGAAGTGGGGTTGGGGCGACTTCCAGCGGAAGCCCATGCCTGGCACCCTCCCACCCAGAGGACCCTCCGGAGGTGGTGCTGGTGGCTCATATCCTGCTCTGGGTCATGATGAGCAGTATAACAGCTGTCCTCAGGGAGCTGGGATGGATGTTCACAAAACATCCAGAGGCAGACACACATCACCCAAAGGAACCTGCTTAGAAGGTGTCACAGGGGCATGTGAGCCTTGGTGTTGGGCAAATTTGCTTCATTTTCAAGCTGATAAATGGTTCCTGGCCCATGTGTCACAGGAGAGAAGAGGATCAACAGTGCCAGCTGGAAGACTTAGGAATAAGGGTATATTATGAGCTGAACTGTACCCCTTCCAAATTCACATGTTGAGACTCTTTAACACATGGAATGGGACCTCACTTGGAAATATGGCCAAAGCGGATATAATTAACTAATATGAAGTTATATTGGAGTAGGATAGGCCTATGTCAGTATGACTGATTATCTTTTTAAGGGAAAATTTAGACACAGAGACACAGACACACATGAACATGAGCCAGAGATATAGCAGATTAATTTATACACTAAAGAATGCCAAGGATTATCAGGGAACAAGGAACCAGTCCTGCCAATATGTTCACCTCAGACACCCTAGCCTCCAGAAATATGAGACAATAGATTTCTGTTTTTCAATTAATTGGTCTGTGGTAATTTGGTATAATGTCCCAGAAAGTAGATCTGAAGATGGGATTCAGGTGCTATATTTTTAGATAAACCATGCAAGTCTAGTGGAGATAGTAACTGAGTGGTGCACAGGATCCCTGGGCAGATGGGCCAATGGAACAGCAGGAAGGAGTAAGAGGGTAGGCCAGACTTACGACCATGGGGAGCCACTCGCATGTTTGACTTTAGTACAGAGCCTAGAGTAAGGAGGTCAAGGTCTGAGCTGAGTAGGGGCTAGGCAATGGATGGAGGGAGCAGAGAAGAGCAATATCTAGGGAAACTGCTCAGGGGTTGAACAGAGGAAAGAACAGGGACAGAGTCAAAGTCTCTCCACTGAGCAACTGGAATGATAGCACCATTAATTAACCTGCCTAGGTTAGGGTAATGGGTTCTTTCCATGGGTTTTTAGGTTCCGTTGAGTTCAAGGGGTCTAGGGAGCTAAAGGAACATGATCTAGCAAGAGATGGAGCTACGATTGAATGAAGGATTTGGCCCATCCAAGGAGCAGCTGCTGAAGTGGAGAATGATCCAATGGGATCATCGGATCACTATCTTTCACTGGGAGCAATTCTGACTAAAACTTGGTGACTGGTTTGAAGGTCAACAGAGCTGAAGAGCTGAGTAGAAGCAGGTGGGATAGATTGGAAAAGTCACTCTAGCCTGAAGGCAAGTGGTAGCAAAGAAATGCCAACCTTGTATCAGGCACCTTTGGCAGACCGGGCCAGAGAGGCGGGAGAGATAGATGGAGGGAAGACAGAAGCCTGCTGTGGCCAAGGAGGAGGGCAGCTGGGAGGATGGCCTGAGGCTGTGAGAAGTACACCTTTCCATGTCCATCCTGTTCCCATCCTTGGGGCTCCATGCTTGGGGACTCCACTCAAAATCCACTTGCATAGATGGTCTCTCTGGCTTTTCTGGGCAGAATGGACCAGCCCTCTTTCAGCTCCTATAGACTCTAGGGGACCTTACAATCCTGAGTCTGCCTCCTTTGGGCGGGGGTGAGAGGGTGGGGGGTTGAGGGCTCAAAGGCTGTGTGATGTGACCTTACTGCCTTTTGCCTGTTACTGAGGGTGAAGGACAAGCCTGGGGACAGCCAGGTGATTCACTGCAGGGATGATATTCTATCTTTAACCAGAGAACAAGAACCTTATAATATCCTGGCTGATGGGTCATGTCCTGTGGCGGGGAGGGGGGCTGGGTGTGTGAAGGCTCTGCAGGTGGTGTCTGGAATCTACTGGATGAACTGATACTTTAAATGAGTGATTTAAGGTAGAAACTTCTGACAAACAACCACCCTGGATAGGGTGTGGCTCAGTTGTAGAGCACTTGCTTAGCATGCACAAGGCCATAGATTTGATTCCTCCAACTCCCATCCCCTCCCCCCAAAAGTAGGTAAACAAGCCAAGACATGAGAAATGAGTTCCTCCATTCTGACATTTCCTGCCAACCACTGGGTTTTCCCTTCCACACAGTAAGAAGGGCTCTGTTCTCCTTGGTCCTCTGAGGTCATGCTTCAGCATCCTGCCCACTCCCTCCCTGCCGCAGTTGCTAGTAGGGGCAGGGAGGCAGCTTCCGGCCATGTGGACCCAGACAATGCTTGGCCTTGGGCCACCAGCATCCTTTTCCTGGACACAACATCCAAGGCCCCACCCCATGGCTACACTGTGGAGGCCCTGAGTCCTAGATCACTATTCCATGAAGGCCAGCCAGAAAAGTTCTAGGGACCCAAGTAATACCAGCCACCTGGGGTAGGTGAATTTAGCAGGAGAGAGGAAAACTACATCTGAATAACCACTCTGTTAAGGCATGTAGCTGCTGCAGGAACTAAACTTGTGATCAGGAAACTGCTATCAATAACAGAGGAGACACGACCTCAAATCAGCAGAAACCAGAGCTTTCAGGGTCTAACCTCTGTAGGGTCTCAGAACACCAATCCCAAGAGGCTAAAGTGGGATGGTAGGCACCAATGAACAGAGGTTTGTATGCACGTGGGTAACCCATGGACAGTGGCACACTGTATAGACTGCACATAAAGTTCACACTTTAGGTGGTGAGTGCACTTATGAATGAACACCCATGTCTGCATGAAGGGAAACAATAACTTAAATCTATTATGATGATTAAAAATAAGCTTTTCCCCCCTAAGTTCTGGGGCTTGAATTCAGCCTGGGAACTGTTTATGCTTAAGGCTAGCGCTCTAACACTTTGAGCCACAGCTCCAGTTCCAGTTTTCTGGTGGTTAATTAGAGATAGGAGTCTAAAGGATTGGGTTGGCTTTGAACTAGGATTATAAAACTAGACTTTAGCTGTGTGCTGGTGGCTCATGACTATAATCCTAGCCACTCAGGAGGCTGAGATCTGAGAATCACAGTTCAAAACTAGTCTGAGCAGTTAACTAGTTAACCAGGAGAAAATTGGAAGTGGTGCTGTGGCTTGAAGTGGTTGAGTGCTAGCCTTGAGCAAAAACAGCTCAGAGACAGGCCCCAGGCCCTGAATTCAAGCCTTATGACTGACAAAAAAAAAAAAAAGACTTTAAATACACATTTCAAGTTTGTTAGGATGATACATAGGAGAGGCTAAGCAGGCCTGGGGTGCTGGGTGCGGGGGGACTTCAGAACTGAGGAGGCTTTGGTTCCTCTCTCATCACTAATCACTGATATTTTCAAACAAATTCATCTCCTCCCTCATCCCATCCAAACTCTACTGCATCTCTGTTCCTAAGCCCTATCCCCTGCCCAGCCCTTCCTTATTGCAGTCATCCACTGCAGATGCCTTCATATAACCTTTTCTCATGTCACTGTTGTAAAGTAACCCCAGCCCCTTCTCCTCAGGCACCCTCAAAAGTCTTTCTGAATCCCTATGCCCAGGGACTTAGGAAGTGAAGACTCACACTAGAGCCCCTTCAAGGCCCTACCAAAGTAGCTTTCTTGTACTTGTGCCCAGGCTGAGATATCCTGTGAACCCCCCTGAGATCCAGTCTGATTAATTATTATTATTTGTGCCAGCCTTGAACTCAGGGCCGGGGTGCTATCCCTTAGCTTTTTTTTCTCAATATTGAAGTTCTACTGCTTAAGCTACAGCTCAACTTCTGGGCTTTTTGGTGGTTAACTAGAGGTAAGAGTCTCATGGACTTTTCCTGCCTGGGCTGGCTTTTAATGATCACAGTACAGGTGTGGGCCACCAGTGCCTAGCTCCAGACTGATTTTTTGGCTCAGGCTACGTTTCCTTGCTATCCCAGTAGGCAGATACCATCTGTTCTTCTTCCTTCTCTGCAGTCCTTGTGGGCCTAGCTTCTTTCCAGTCTGACTCCCTCAAGACAATGCTGCTCCTTGTCATCATTCCATGGTAGGCTTGGTGGTTGCTGTCCCTGTCCAGAACTGCCTCTGCTCATCTGTTCCCAGGCGCTACTGCTATCTCACCTTAAGAAGGATTATTCAAGTGCCTTTCCCTTACCACATGCACCTAGTAACACCAATCCTGACAGACCAATTCTATGCATCCCTAGGAAACAATCCGCTTGATTCCACCTGTCTCTAAAATACTTCCCTGAAACAAGTCAACAACACCCTTTTGCATATGCTTCACTTCCAGGGCACATGGTCATGGAACACTGTCCTTTTTTTTTTTTTTTTTGGTCAGTCAGAGGGCTTGAACTCTGGCCTGAGTACTGTCTCTGAGCTCTTCAGTTTAACGTGAGTCATAGTGCTATTTCCAGTTTCCTGGTGGTTAACTGGAGATAAGAGTCTCACAGACTTTCTTGCTCAGGCTGGCTTTGAACTGCAATTCTCAGATTTCAGTGTCCTGAGAAGCTAGTATTTTTTTTTTTTGGTGGGGGGGGTGTGTTGTCAGTTGTGGGGCTTGAACTCTGGGCCTGAGTGCTGTCCCTGAGCTCTTCAACTCAAGGCAAGTGCTCTACCACTTGAGCCACAGTGCTACTTCTGATTTTCTGGTGCGTTAATTGGAGATAAAAGTTTCTTGGACTTTCCTGGTTGGGCTGGATTTGAACTGCTATCCTGAGTAGCTAAGATTACAGATGTGTGCCAGCAGCGCCTGGCTATACTGCTCTTTTGTTGTGTATCAGTCTTTGAGCTTGAACTTAGGGCCTGAGTGCTGTTCCTGAGGGATTTTTTTTTTTTTTTTAGATTTTGTTTTTCTTTCCTTTTTTTTTGGTCCAGTCGTGGGGCCTGAACTCTGCGCCTGAGCGTTGTCCCTCAGCTTTCAGCTCAAGGCTTGTGCCCTACCACTTGAGTCACAGCACCACTTCCGGCTTTTTTGTTTTTGCTTATGTGGTGCTAAGGAATTGAACCCAGGGCCTCAGGCATGCAAGGCAAGCACTCTACCACTGAGCCAACTTCCCAGCCCCCTAGATTTTGTTTTTCTTTTCTTTTTTTTTGGGTCTGGTCGTGGGGCCTGGGCGCTGTCCCTCAGCTCTTCAGCTCAAGGCTAGCGCTCTACCACTTGAGCCACAGCGCCACTTCCGGCATTTTTCTTTTTGCTTATGTGGTGCTGAGGAATCGAACCCAGGGCCTCGAGCATGCAAGGCAAGTGCTCTACCACTGAGCCACCTTCCCAGCCCGATTTTGTTTTTCTTAAAGTGAGCACTCTACCACTTGAGCTGTAGCTCTGCTTCCAGCTTTTTTGGTAGTTGGAGATAACAGTCTCACAGACTTTCCTGCTAAGGCTGGCTTTGAACTGTGATCCTCAGATCTCAGCCTCCTGAGTAGTTAGGATTATAGGCACAAGCCACTAGCACCAAGAAGAGCACTGTCTATTGACCCGAGCAAGTACAGGACTGCAGTGTAGACATGGCTGTGGAGCAGACCTGCTCACATGCTCAGCAAAGACTGGCTTGCACATTGTAGCAGGCAGGCTTGAGTTTTCCACTCTGCTGGGCAGGAGGGGGCAAAAACTAGGCTCAGGGGATGCAAAGATGACAAGTCAAGGCCAAGAGGCTGTTAGGGGAAGCCATAGGGGTAGAGGATGGCTTTAGGGGATTTTCAGATTAGTATTTTGAATAACTAATGTAAGCTTTAAAAAAAAGACTCATGAATAATGCTGGGGCTAGAGACTAGGCTCATCCTCTTGAGGAGCTAGGTTCACATGGATACAACAGCCTTCTTCTGTAACATGCATGGAATACCCCTTGTTTTTTTTTTTTTTTTTGGGGGGGGGTCCGGTCATGGGGCCTGAACTCTGGGCCTGGGCACTGTCCCTCAGCTCTTCAGCTCAAGGCTATCGCTCTACCACTTGAACCACAGTACCACTTCCGGTTTTTTTCTTTTTGCTTATGTGGTGCTGAAGAATCGAACCCAGGGCCTCAGGCATGCAAGGCAAGCACTCTACCACTGAGCCAACTTCCCAGCCCCTGGAATACCCTGTGTATATGATAAATTAGCCTGATTCCAAACATCTGCAGCTGTCTGAACTGAAGGAGAGGATAAAAAAAGACCTTGTCCTTCTGTCTTTCACGGGACAAATACTTTCAGAATGAATGAGTAAGTGAAAGGGGAGGGGATCACAGCTCTTCTGAGGTAGGGGCCTGAGGTCAGCCTAGGAGATGCTTCAAAGGCTGCAGGCCCACTGCTGTCCTTGAAGACTGTGGAGCTGGTTGTCACTTCTCTATGCCTGGGCTTCCTCACCGGTCCAATGGGGACAATACCAACTACTTCTCAGCTTGTAGTAGTTAGAGGGTTGTGTGGCCCAGCTCTGCCCACGAAGCCTCAATCCAGTCTCTTCACCCACTTACCTCTACTTTCTTGCCTACAGAATGGACAGAAATAGGACTTAGCATTAAGCATTCCACTGTGCCCCTTTCCTTCCCCCACCCCATATGTCAAAGTCCTAGTCTACAGTTGCTCAGAATGGTACCTTATCTGGAATTATAGCTTTTGCAAATGTAGTTTATAGATTTGCAGATTTGGTCCTATTGCAGTAGAGGAGAGAAGGGGCTTCAAAGCCCATATGACTAGTGTCTTCAGAATCAGCAAGGCTACAGACACACAGCCAAGGAGAACAAAGGTGACAACGAAGGTGAGATCAGAGAGCTGAGTCTATAAGCCAAGGAACACTAACCAGTTGCCACTTGATGCTAAGACAAAGACCTGGAATGATTCACCCCTATGGCTCTTCAGAGAGAACTAGGTTCTACATACACACCTTGATCCTGCACTTCTGGCCCTTAGAAATGGAGGACAAATTTCTTTTGTACAAAGCCATCAAGTTTTGTGTTACTTTGTTATGGCAGCCATAGGAAGGCAATAGAGCAATCCTTCTAAATCACAGTTTTACTCTGTGTCATTTCAATTACTTGCAGTCAACAATAGTCTGTGTTTTTTTTTTTTTTCTGTGCTAGTTCTGGGGCTTTAACTCAGGGTATGGGCACTGTCAGTGAGCTTTTTTTTTTCTTCTCAAAGCTAGTACCTTACCACTTGAGCCATAACTCCACTTTCAGCCTTTTGATGGTTAACTAAGAATCTTATCAACTTTCCTGCTAGGGCTGGCTTCAAATTGCAATCTCAGCCTACTGAGCAGCTAGGATAACAGGTGTAAACCACCAGTACCTAGCTACAATCTGCAGCTTTTAAGTTGTGTGTTGTTCTGAGTAGTGGGAAAGAAACTTACATCATTCTGTTCTATCCTACCATGGGTATAAATCATCCATTTTTCCAATGTACATGTGCTGTCTGTGCTACCTGCTCATTAATCACTTAGTAGCTGTCTTGGTTACCAGATGAAACATCTTAATATCCCAGCACTCAAAGAAACTGGATTTTACTTAGTAATGGCCTTAATCCATGAATAGTGATACCAACAATTCAGATATGCTGAAGAGAAGCTATAATATACTTGAAGTGAGAAGGCAAATGCTTTTGAACTTAATAAGGAAAAAGAAAAAAGAAACAAAACCCTGTGCTAAAATTGCTAAGGTTTACTGTAAGAAGAAAATCTGCAATCATGAAAGAGGAGAAATCCGTGCTACATTTTTTTTTTTTTTTGGCACTTCAAATTGCAAGAGTTAGAGCTACAATGTGTGGTAAGTGCTTAGCTAAGAGGGAAAGACATTAAATGATAGGATTTGGTACCATTTGTGATTTCAAGGACTTCCCTGGGGGTTTGCAATGTGGATAGGGGGAACACATACATACTGCTGACATGGTGTCAAAGTCAGCATATGACAGACATAACACTCCTTGCTCCTCACCCAGTGCAGTCATTCCCCTCTGGTGTGGCACAAGCCTACCTGCTGCCCAGGAAGGTCATTGCCAGCTCAGCCAGCTCCCCCTCCACCTCTTCTTGGCTCAGCACTGCCCCTGGGGCCTTCCACGGCAAAGGGCTCTCTGGGCTCAGCGGGGCTGTAAAGTCTTGGAGGAATGCATCCAGGAAGCCTGTGATTTCTGCGCCACAGGCCATCCGGCGGCTGTTCTGTGGAGCTCCAGAAGCCATGCCCCGAGCATCCCGGGGAGGGAGAGTGGTACAGTCGAGTATGGAGTGAGGCAGTCTCTAGTCAGTCTTTACTCTGGGGAAGAGACACACTAGAGTCAGCAGCATCACAGTATGACAAGTGCCCGACAATGTGGAATACATATGTCCTGCTTTGTTTCTCCATCTGCAAGCATCGTACAACAGACACAGTACTGAGCCCCAGGCCTTTAATCCAGGGAGCACAAGGGAAGTAGATCAACATCCCAGCCAGCATCCTCATAGGGATCCAAGTGGGGACATGTGGCTACTCAAAAGCAGCCTCTGGGATTATGCCAGCAACATAGGTCACATGAACATCTCAGAGAAATGACAGAAAGAAGGCTTGTTCCCAGCACAACATGGCTGGTATGGCCAGAGGGACAGAAAAAGAACACCAGAGCCTAGTCCTCAATATAATCCTGGGGATGTCAGCAACCAGGAGGGCTCTGGGTTTATGTGCCTGGAGAAGGGACTTGTGCTAGCCTGCAGAGATAGTTTAGAGGAACAGCGAATGAGTAGGGCAGTGAGTCCAGGGCAATTTGGGAGATGGACCAAAGTGAGAACAAGAAGGGTCAGCCTGAGGGCTAGGCAAGAGAGAAGCAGGTTTACTTGTGCTAAAGGGTGTAACTGGGATGCTGTCCAGCCTGTTTAGTCAGAGTCCTCTTAACAGGAGTAGGTCATGTATTTAGGATGGCTCAAGCCTCTTAACCCCTGGCTGGAGAAGAGGCACTATGGCTGGCCCAAGGTTTCTGATCCACTGGGGGCTCAGGGTCCAGTGTTTTCCTTCCTCAATCCTTAGGAATGCTGAGGGCTTGGTAGCAGCCAGGCTGTGTGTGTTCCAGACACATTAAGAGCCAAGTTCCAGTGTCACACACGTTGAGCACTGAGGCTGGGCAGTGAGGCAGCCTTTCACTTGAGGTCTAAGGATAGAGAATGGGACCCAGGAGGGATCCACAATCTGAACTTGTCACCATCCTACAATGCACACACATCCAAGGGAGGACCATCAGTGCCCACGGGCCTTGACTGACAAAGCTCACTCTGGCTTCCTCTCTGTGGTAAGATTGTAGCTCTTCACTCTTGCTCAGATCCACCTAGCCATGGCCCTGGCTAACCAGCCCTTTCCACACTCACAGGCAGCAGACTAGTCCTGTCCTCTAATCTGTCACCTCATTGGACACCTGGGGTCCTACCTAGATTTCTGCCTCTGATTCATAGCTAGCACTAGCGTGTCTCTCCATCTTCCCCCTCCCCCTTTCCAGTATTGGAGATTAAAATTAAAGTCCTGTATATGCTAGGTATAAATACTCAACAATTGGACCACATTTGTGGCTCCTTCTATCTTTCTTCTATGGCCTTATGATTTGCTCTACCTTCCCCCATTTGACTCTTCCTGTTGCAGCAGCCTGGCCTTTCCAGGCCTTGCTTGACACCACGTACAGCTGGGCACCTTGCCTCCCTGTGAGCATGCGCTCAGCATAGGACCTATTTCTCTTGCCCCTTCTAGGTAGGTGCACCCTGGGACTGGTGCTATCAATAGTTCTTTCCAGCCCTCCCATGGCTATGGCACCTCTGAGGGCTCTAATTTATATCCAGGCTCTGAAACTTTGCTCAGGAAAGAGCACTGTGTTTACTACTAGAGGAAACAGACATAATTGTGAGGGCCACCGCAAGTTCTAGGCGGTAAAATCGGAGGAGCAGCTTTTTAGCTCATCCTTTTCTTAGCCCATTCCTGGTTCTAAGCGTAGGTTCTAAATGGTAGAACCCCAGGCAAGAATATTCCAGAAATATCAGTCTTAGAATCCCTATAGACAGTAAGTGCCTCTAAACCTTGCCATAAGGGAGGTTGATGGCAAAGGCCTGGAGCTGAAGGATTAAGAGCTGAAAGCAAGAAGAGATAATGATTATTAGCTTAGCACAAGTGTGGAAGCATAAGGAGAAAACACGCACACAGAACTAGATGGACTGGAGAGTCTAAATGCCAATCAATGCAAAATTGGGGTTGCAAAGGGCAACCTATTCTCCTACTTAGGAGGTTAAAAGATCTGAGGATCATGATTTGAAGCCAGCGTGGGCAGAAAAGTTCGTGAGACTTTTATCTCCAATTAGCCACCAAGAAGCCAAAAGTGGAACTGTGGCATGCCAGCCCTGAGTGAAAAAGCCAAGTGAGAGCTTGAGGCCTTGAGTTCAAGCTCTGGTACCATCTCAAAAGAAAAAAAAAAGGATGAAGGGTGGTAAACTAAAAAAAAATACTCTCTTTAGGGATAGGAATCAAAAGTTAATTTGTTGTAGGCACATACATTAGAAGAACATAGAAATATTCTATTTATGAGGCTCGATTTAAAATTCCTTGTCAATCTTCTCATTTACGTACAAGTAAATGCAATGTAGTCATTACAAATGACAAGCAGACAAACAGAGTATAAAGCAAAGAAGGAAAAATCAGGATGGGAGCAGAATGGATATATTCTAACCAAAGATAAAACTTGGTAAAATGACAGCAGGCAAGGAACCTTGGGAGTGGACGGTGGAGGATGATCAGCAGAGAGGCCGACAGGGTCTCAGGGCCTGCCTGCACAGCCCAGCAGAGCTGTAAGCATAAAGACTAGACCCATCAGAAGACAACAAGATGGTGGAAATTTCCCTGAAAACTCAGCATCCTTAAGTGGAGGAAGAGGCCTAGGCCTCCTGTCTGCTATGAATAGCTCTGGCTTGCTGGTGCATTTGACGGAGAAATGTAAATAATGAATGGGGTGCTATCTCCCAAGCAACTATCAGTGTTTGGACTACACTTAGCTCCCATGCAATTAAATGACCAAGAGACATTGAAACCTCTAGTGAACTAAATTGCTCAGAGAAAGTTATGGTTAGGGTCAAATGAAAAGATGGCACATTTATACTTTCAAAGGTACACAGAGAGCTCCAGTTGCTGGCCTACAGCAAGAAACCTCACATTCAAGTACAGAATTCAAGCCCTTTCATCTTTGACCACAATGGCTGGTGACTTGTATGCTGGGCATTTTGCAACATTGGTACCTCTTCCTCATCTCCACCCTTTGAGTGTTTCCTGTGCCTTGAGCCCCTCCCCACAGTCTGCAGCCCCTCAGGGCTCTCTGCACTGTAGCAATACAGTCTGCACAGGCTGGAAGCCCAGCGTGCACCTGACCGCCTGTTTGTTCTCTGTGGCCTATGCCCACTGCCCTGAACCCAGGACCTGGCCTGGGTCCTAATGGCAATTTGTACCATGTACACAGAGTGGAGTCTGGGCAGGTGGGGCTGCACAATGTGACATGGCAATCAATGCTCATCTGCAAAACTCCACCAGCAGGTGCAGAGAGGACAGGCTGGCTCACTCTCAGGGCCTATACTAACTGCCTACTTTTGCTAGACAGGTAGAGGGCTCAAAGCCATTTTGTTTGCTGGGGACTACTACTTAAGACTCTTTTGGTCCAAGTCCTGGGGCTTGAACTCTGTAGGTTCTATCCCTGAACTTTTAGCTCAAGGATAACACTCCACCACCTGAACCACATTTTTACTTTGTCTCTTTTTAGTGGCTAATTGGAGATAAGAGTCTTACAGACTGCCCAACATTGCTAGCTCATGCCTGTAATCCTAGCTACTCAGGAGGCTGAGATCTGAGGATCATGGTTCAAAACCAGCCTGGGTAGGAAAGTCTGTGAGACTCTTTTCTCCAATTATTCACAGAAAGAACTGGAAGGGGCTCTGTGGCTCAAGTAGTAGAGCACTAGCCTTGTGCAAAAAGGAGCTCAGAGACAGCGTCCAAACCCAGAGTTTGAGTCTTAGGACTCGGGGTGAGAGGGAAGAGTATCTCACAGACTTTCCTGCCTGGGCTGGCTTCAAACTACAGTCCTCATATCTCAGCTAGTATTACAGGAATAAAGCCACCAATATCGCCAGGCGGCAGTGGCTAATGCCTGTAATCCTAGCTACTCAGGAGGCTGAGATCTGATGATTTCGGTTCAAAGACAGCCCGGGCAGGAAAGTCCGTGAAACTCTTATCTCCAATAAACCAACAGAAAACCAGAAGTGGCACTGCAGCTCAAGTGGTAGAGCTCTCGCCTTGAGCTGAAGAGCTGAGGGACAGAGCTCAGGCCCAGAGTTCAAGCCCCATGACAGAAAAAAAAAAAAAAAAAAGCCACCAATACTCTGTTGCCTGGACTATTTTCTTCATTGTCCAGCTGGCATCAGTGGTGAGGAAAAAAAAAAAAAAAACAGGCCACAGGGGCTGGGAAGGTGGCTCAGTGGTAGAGTGCTTGCCTTACATGAGGCCCTGGGTTTGATTCCTCAGCACCACATAAGCAAAAAGAAAAAAGCCAGCTGTGGCTCAAGTGGTAGAGCGCTAGCCTTGAGCTGAAGAGCTGAGGGACAGCGCCCAGGCCCAGAGTTCAGGCCCCAAGATCGGACCCAAAAAAACAAAAAACAAAAAAAAAACAGGCCACAGTTTTCCTTCCCTGGATCCCAGCTGGAATAAAGGAAACAAATAATATCCTTTCTTGTTCTGCCTTTATCCAATAAGCTCCTGAATCTGATGTAGGCTTTAGGAATAGGAGCAGAATAATCCTTGCCCTGGGCAGCCCACAACCTAGAGAGTGGTGGGAGGGAAATTCCTAACCTAGAGTAGGAGCTAGGGACACTGCAAGGGATAGTGACAGGATTCTAAGTTCTTTTGGGATCACTTAAAGAGTCTTAAGAGGGAGGTGGTGGCCAATCAGTAGGCAGCATATGGATAAGGGAGTTTAAGGAGATGGCAGTGCTGTGGAAAAACTAACAGGTGCTGGTCTGGTGTAGAGTTGTTGAATTGTCTGGTACAGAGTGAAAGGCTGAGTGGGAGGGATGTGTGTAAGACACCAAAAACCTGGAGGGAGTGCTGCCTGCTTTGACCTGTCAGGCCAAGCATGACCCTCAACAGATTCCTGCTGGTTTCTGGAATGAGGTCTCTGTGCTTCAATCAGCTGACCACAGCAGTGATGCTATTAAGGGTACTTCCTGCTGTTAGGGCCCTGAGTGCCATCATTGCTTTTCCCAATGTCACACCTTCTAACCTCTGACAACCATCCTGTGATTCTTTCCACTTTACAAATGCAGCTGTGGTGTAAAGGCCAAGTAACTTGCCCAAAGTTTCTGGGTGGGGCTCACACTGGGGAACTGGTCCCTGACTGCACAGCTTTTCTGATTCCTTCCTGTCCCTGATCCACCTCGCATTGGTCACCAAGCCTGGGCTTTGGCTCTTTTATTGCCAGGATAGGCTCCCACCTCTTTCTTCTGAATGAACTGAAGTAATCCTGAAGTCTCTCTGCTCCTATGATTTTTTTTTTTTTTTTGCCTCCCACTAAAATCTTTGGCTATACAAAGCTGTTTGCCATCTTTTCGACCTTTGAGGAAAACAGCCCAGCATGCTGTTTTCCACAGCCATATTACCCTTTTCCTGGTACTTGACACAATAGAGATTCTTTTCCTTTTAAAATCTGAAGGATCTATATTCTTTTAGTTTACTGGTTTGGACCTACAAATTAAACTACCATATAATTGTACAACTGCATTATTTTTTCTAGCTGTTACAGACAAAATACTTGTCAAGTCTTGTTTAATTTCAGAATCTGGGTAATGACAAAGTAGTAATCACGTGTGTGTATGTGTGTGTGTGTGTGTGTGTGTTTATACTGGGTGATGACAAAGTAGTAATCACGTGTGTGTGTGTGTGTGTGTGTTTATGCTGGGGTTTGAACTTGGGTTGGGTTTTGTCCCTTAGTTTTTCTGTTGAAGGCTAGCACTCTACTACTTGAGCCACAGCTTCACTTCTTTTGTTGCTTAATTGGAGATTTTCTTCAGGGATTTTCTTGCCTGGGCTGACTTTGAACCAATACTCAGATCTCAGCCTCCTAAGTAGTTAGGATTATAGGCATGGGCCACTTGGTACCTGGCAAATAGGAATATTTATGAGAAAACTGCATGACTATGGTTATAAAAGTACTGAACTGTTACTTTTTTCCTCCTAGGCTAACACTCTACCACTTAAGCCATACTCCTAGCCTCATGTTAATTTTTAAATTAACCAATGGAGAATCTTCTTTATTAATATTTATTGAAAAGAGTTTGGTATCAATTCTACCAGATCTTAACAAGGTGTTTTTCTACACATAGGAAAATATTTTTATAGGTTTATGTTTTCTGATTATATACTGTGGTAAAATATAACCTAAAATGTACCACTTAAACCATTTTGGGGGTGTTGGGGATTAAACCCAGGGCCTCATGTATGCTAAGCATAGGCTGGACCCCTAAGTCATACCTCTGGACCCCTAAACTCCTCTGTGCCTACTTTAACCATTTTTCTTTTTTGTTTGAGATAGGAGACTCAAGCTCTGTATCTGACAACCCCTAAGCATACTTAATGTACAGTTCTATGGCCTTAAACACATCTATATTGCTGAAAATACACTTTGCAAGGCTGGACTTTCTTGATGGATCATATGTTCCCTATGACTGGTGCCTACCCTGGTGGCCCTCTGTGCTTAGCAAGTGGCAACTGTGGTGGCAGAATGAAGGTAAAGTGGCCACTGTATGCTGAGATATGCAACCTGACAATGTACACTTTCAAAACCAAAACACACTACCTAGCATGGCTAAGTAGCAGAGATGGGCCTTAAAGTCAGAGTTGGCATTAAGTGACATCTCAAAGGAATTCTCCAAGTGAACTGACGGTATTCACAGCTGGGCCTGTAGTCCTAGCCACTTAAGAGGCTGAGATCTGAGGATTCAATCTGAGGATTGAAGCTAGACAGGAAAGTTTGCTAGACTCTTATCTTCAATTAACTACCAAAAGCTGGAAGTGGAGCTGTAGTTCAAGTGGTAGAGTGCCAACCTTGAGTGAAAAAGCTAAAGGACACAAGTGCTGGCACACACATGCACACACCCACACCCACACCAAACAGATATGGTATTTATTTTATCTCTCACAACTGTGTTGATAATTCATATTATCAGGTTACACTGCACATGAAGAAATGGACTTCAGGAGGGGAAGCTCTCTATTAAAGCTCTCACCGGTGGGGCATGAAAAAGTAGGGCTTGATCAGGAGTTTCGGTGCCCAGTGACTTTGTCACTCACACCTTGGTTGCTGGAGGAAAAGCGTGAAATCTGACTGAGAGATAGGGACATGAAAGCCAGCAATAAGCCAGTGGTGATCTGACTGCCTGCCAGTACCACATTCCATCCCCCAGGTGGATGCAGTTTGGCCGAGAGAACTTGTCCCTGGAAATGTCACGAGGACATAAGTCACACAGGGGACCTCGGGGCAGAAAACCTTTGGCTTGCACGAACAAACAGGTGAATGGGCTTGTCTGAAATCACACTGCAGTGGGAGCCCAAGGTCTCCACACTTGAGGCACTATCTGACACAGTTCAGCGGAAGGCGCTGCGGCCCACGCACTGCTTTCACTTAAACACTCACCTTCAGAAGCCCGGGGGGAGCCCTGGCAATACGGGGTGCTCGGCAGAGTAGCGGTCCCACGAGGTGCTTGCACTGGTGGGGTAGGAGGCAGGGCAGTGGGCCTGGCCACGTGTTCCTGAGGGGGGTGGGATAGGCTGGATCCTTGAAGAATGGGGTGTGTCACCCCATGCTACTCCAGTCTGCTCACCAAGCCGGGGGTCCCACCTGGGCCCTTCGGCTGGACCAGACCCTCCCTGGTCAACAGATTCCTCTCCCCTCCGCCCCACCCCAGCCCCACGCCGTAGAACGCCAGCCCCGATTCTCAGGTTCCCCAAGCCCCCCTTGCTCCCCCTGCTCTTAAGTCCTCTTTCCACCCCACATGCTCCTCAGGTCCCTGCAGACGAGCCTCGCCAGGGCCTTCTTACTTCCTCAGCCCCCCTATTCCGTCTCCCGGGTTCCCCAGCCCCATTTCACCGCTGTGAACCTTGGACCCCACCTCCGCGCACCTGACCCTCACTCCAGCCCTGCCAGCCTCCGCGGCTCGCTCCCAACCCGGATTTCGTCGCTCCCGGTTCCCCGCGGGCCTCACCTGCCACCCCGCCGCTCCGCGCCCCGCATTTGCTCCCCGACGGCCCCGCCCACTTCCCGTCCGGGGCTGCCGCGAGTGCTGCGCAGGCGTAGTCGGGCCTCAGGGCGGGCGGTGGGGGCGGTTCTGGCCTCTGCTGCCCTCTGGCGGCCTCGCGGCTCTTTGCTTTCAGGCGACACCTGCGCCCCAGGCGCTAGCAATTTGCTCCACCTCTGGCGTGGGAGGCGAGGTGGCTGAAAGCAATCCTTATTTGACAGCTACCAGAAATCCACTAACTTGCGCCGTCCACAGGTAGTGACAGAGTAGGGATGCATACCCTGACTTCCCAAGGTTGGCTCATCCATCAGGGGCAGGAGACAGAGGCCAGGGTACTGTTATTTTTCATCAACATTGTTCTATTGAAACAACACAGCCTTATTATCTCCGGAGATCCGAAGTTCTCAGGGTCAAAACGGGCCACGACCTCCAGGTATCAACAGGCTTGTCCTTTTTAGGGACCCTAAGGGAGAGTCCACTCCCTTGTCTTTCCTGGCTGTTGAGACTGTCCACATTCTTTGGCTTGATGTCCTTTTCCTTGGTCGTCTTTGCCAGCGAAGGTCAGTCTAGCTCTTCTCTCCCTGTCACCTAGTTTAGTCTCTCTGATTCCCTCTGTTACTTCTAAAGACTTGGTGATGACATTGGGCCCATTCAGATAACCCAGGACATCTTTTCTTCTTCTTCTTCTGCCTGTCCCAGGGTTTGAACTCAGGGCCTGGGCACTGTCCCTGAGCTTTTGTGCTCAAGGCAAGTGATCTACCAATTGAGCCACAGATCCATTTTCGGTTTTTTGTGTGTGTGATTAATTGGAGATAAGAATCTCATGGACTTTCCTGCCCCAATTTGAACCAGGATCCTCAGATCTCAGCTAGTATTACAGGTGTGAGCCGGGCCTTTTTTCATTGTTAAATTGGCTTTAATTAACCTGAACACAGTAAAGGGTTTCACCATGACATTTTCATATACATAACTCTTTCTTATTCTTTCCCCTGTCCCCCCATTTTATTTGTTGTTTGTGGGGCTTGAACTCAGCCTGGGCCCTGTCCCTGAGCATTTTTTCCTTAGTACTCTACCACTTTGACCCACAGCACCACTTCCCGTTTTCTGGTGGTTAATTGGAGATGAGTCTCATGGACTTTCCATCACCTAGGCTGAATAGTGTTGTAACAAGCGTGGGGATGCAGGTATCTCTATTGTATTCCTTCAGCTATATACCCAAGAGGGGTAGAGGAGGATCATATGACAGTTGTTTTTATTTTTATTTTTGGCGGTTGTGGGCTTGAACTCTGGGCCCTGTCCCTCAGCTCTTCAGCTCAAGGCAAACTCTCTACCACTTGAGACACAGCACCACTTCCAGTTTTCTGGTGGTTAATTGGAGATAAGAGTCGCACAGACTTTCCTGCCTGGGCTGGCTTTGAACTGAGATCCTCAACTCTCAGCCTCCTGAGTAGCTAGGATTATAGGCATGAGCCGCTGGTACCCAGCTTGTTTTTAATTTTTGAGGAACCTCCATGCTGATTTTCATAGTGGCTGGGTCTTCCCACTAACAGTGAATTAAAGTTATATTCTCCCTGTCTTGGTATTTATGTGTTTTCTTTTTCTTTTATTTTGTGCAGGTCCTGTGGCTTGAACTCAGAGTCTGGGCACTGTCCTTGAGCTTTTTTGCTCAAGGCTGTGCTGTCCCACTTGAGCTACACTACCACTTCCAGCTTTTTGATAATAAGCTGGAGTTAAGAATCCCACAGACTTTCCTGACTGGGCCAGCTTTGAACTGTGATCCTCAGATCTTAGCCTCTTGAGTAGCTAGGATTACATGCATGAGCCACAAGTGTCTAGCTTGTTTTCTTATGATTATTCTGACTGGGGTGAGATGGAATCTCAATAGTTTTGATTTTCATTTCCTTGCTGGCAAAGGATATCGAAGATTAAAAAATGTATTTATTGGCCATTTGTACTTCTTAATTTGAAAGGTGTCAGCTCTTTTGCGTATTTATTGGTTGTATTGTTAGTGTGTTTGCTTTTATTTCTTCTGGATGTGAGATTGTGGGGGCATTGGGGTTTGAACTCAGGGTCTCTCATTCTAGCTCATGGTTGGTATCCTACCACTTGAACCACACTTCCACTTCTGGCTTCTTGCTTGTTGACTGGAGATAGTCTTTTGGACTTGTCTTCCCCTGGCTAACTTCGAACCTAAGTCCTCAGATCTTAGCATCCTGGTAGCAATGATTATAGGCATGTGGCACCAATTAGATTTTCTTAAAAAATGATGAACAAGCCCTCAAAAGCTCTGCTCACATGACTTTAATATCTATACACTAGCCTGTTTGCTTCCCAGGAGCTAAGAACTCCAGGATTCTTCATTGACTGGTGAGCTTCATTGAAGCCAGGAAACTGGAGAACTGGCAAGTGGCTGATTTAGGAAGCCACTTGGGATAGGGGTTGAAAGTGGGGTTCTGACTCACTCCTTCTTAGATTTCTGTCAAAGCAGTGGGCCTAAGCAAGGCTTGAGGCTACTTATAACTTTGGGCATATTCCTTTGCTCAGCAGAGCCTGATTCCTTTGCTAAGAGACAGTTGAAACCAACCTGTCATAGGTTGGCTGACATGGGGTGACAGTTTGAGAGGGGTGAAGTTTGAGAACCATAGCCTAGGTTATAACATATGATGAAAGTGGATAGAGCTTCAGCTGCCTCAATGGGGCCTTATTAGATTCTTAAGGATTGAATTCTCTATGAGGTTATTGAGTTGAAGGTGATGGCAAAGTTCGGAGTCAGGAACTTGCTCTTGCTAGGCCCTACCCAAGGATGTGCTTAGAGATTACTTATGTGCTGTGGTCTGTCAATGCCTCCCTGCCCGCATTCCATGCCTCAGCTCTGACTCTTGCCTTTTGCTCTTGTGAAAGCAATCTCAGTATCATCTTCCCCAATCAACCACCAAGTTCATGGTTCTTTGCTTCTCTAGTAAGGCTGTGTAGGTAGGCAGAGGCAGAGGCAGGGTGTGCCAGTCCTGGCTTTCCCTCCTACCTTTGTTCTCTCTGGCTGAACTTTCTTTCTTTCTTTCTTTTGCTTGTGGTAGAAGTTTCAGTGCAGAATCATGACAGTGTGTGGTCTGGGATTCAGGCTGAGGGGAAAGTCTATTCTCTAGGACCAACTAAACTGTAACAGAGCTGCCTGTCTGGAAGGGTCCAGGGGCATCAGGGAGGACAGGCTGCTTTCTTGTGGACAGAAGGCCCCAGATCCACGCTGTATGTGACTGACCATATGGGTGGAAGAACAGTCATATATCTTTGTCAGAGATCCTATATACCAAGAGGTGAACCCTTTTCAGGGCTCCAGAATCTGGCTGGAGTAGCTGGGAATGGGATAGAGGCTTTCTTTCTGAGACATACTGACTCAGGAACAGTTGTACAGCTTCCCAGGCAGATGGCTTTGGCAACAGCTTTCCAAAAGGAATATCTTATTGGGTGCTGGTGGCTACTTCAGAGGCTGAGATATGAGGATCTAGGTTTAAAGCTAGCCCAAGCAGGAAAATCTGTGAGACTCTTACTATTTTTGTCAATCCTAGGGCTTGAACTCAGAGCTAGGGTGCTGTCTTGGAGCTTTTGTGATCAAGGCTAGCATTCTATCACTTTGATCCACAGCTCTACTTTCAGTTTTCTGGTGGTTAGTTGGGGGTACAATTCTCGATAGACTGTTCTACCCAAGCTAGCTTTGAACTGGGATCCTCAGCTCTCAGCTTCCTGAGTTGCTAGGATTACAGATGTAAGCCACCAGCACCTAACCATGAGACTCTTACCTTCAATGAACCACCAAAAAAAAGCAAAAAGTGGAGTTGTGGCCTAAGTGGTAGAGTACTAGCCTTGAGCAGAAATACTCAGGGACAGTGCCTATGTCTCGAGTTCAAGACCTGGGATTGGCACACACAAAAGAGCACCTCTCTGTGTATTTTCTTGCAACTTTTAGAGGGGCTTCCTAGCTGTGTTCAAAGGACATAGCAGGGTTGGCTTGTGGGGTCTGAAGTGGGATGTCAAGGTTGCTTGTGCTGCAGGGGCTCTGGGTTTCTCTACAGCTTCTAAAGTCCTATCTGTCCTGGTATGAATGGAGAGTAGGAACTTGGCCCTTAAACAAGAATCCCACAAAGCTCCAGCAAAGCTGCTTGGCTGACTTTTTTTAAGTTCTGAGACTGGAACTTGAACTCAGTACCTGCCACTTTTGCTCATTGGCTAGTGCTCTACCAGCTGAGCCATACCTCCAACCTCTTTGCTGAATTTTTGCCACAAGGTGAGACATGGTCAGGCATGGAGGGACTCTCCAACATGCAACAGACCTAACAGGACTTTTTGTCGGACTGCTGGAGAGGGGGCACAGAAAGTAGCTACTATCTGGGGTGGCTCAGAGCCCATAATCAGCTGCCATGAGGCAGTTTGGCCTAGAGAATAGTTTCTAAACCAGTCACGTGATCATCTTCAATGTGGCTTCCAGCTGTCTCTGAGACAGTCCAGGTTTGTTATGCACACAAGCACCACATGCTGAGTTTGCTTGGAACTGCGGAGTTGGGAGCCTCAAGCATACAAGAGTAGGGTCAGAATGGTGGGACCCAGGCCAGGGAGATTCATGAGCTAGGGCCAAGAAGACATTGCTCAACCCTGCTTGCTACAGCTGGCCTCATCTTAGGACACCTGCTGGACTGTTGATATTCACTTCCTCAAGGCCTCAGGCTGCTTCTTTGCGTCTACACACGGCCCTGCTACTGTTCCTGTCCTGAGGTGGACTAGTAGCTGCAAACTGGACTGGCTGTATTCTCTAGTTGCTAAGATGGCAGGTTCGTAGGGCCTGGGCAGTGTAAAGAGTGCTCTAGATGTACACAGAATGTCCTGAAGGGGACATCAGAACCTCTGATCTCACTTCACCAGCAAAAGTCCCCAAGCTTCTTTTTCTAGAGAAGACAGAACAGTTTTA